ACCTTAGGTTTCGGCCGACGGGCACTCATACACTTTACTCCGCGGAATCAATATTTAGGGAAATAATATACAAAATCGCAAAAAGCTAACGACATCAAAACGTAATTTTTACTCCACTGCCGCGAGATATTGAGAAATTACAAACCACGACGACATAAAGATTCCAATCTTTTAGTTTCATTTTCAAACTTAATTTAGGGAATAAATTCTGGAATATATTTTTCAAAATTTTTTATTACCAAATTTATTTCATCCATATGAAATTTTGAACGGGTTCATTTAGTATTTGATATTAGTTAGTTTGTTTTGTCAAAAATTTTCCTTGTAGAAGAGATATTAGGTTGGCCAGCTGTTGGCTCTGAAAAACTTTTTCAAATTTGTCACAAAAATATCTCAAAAAGAAATTGATTTATTTTTCCAACATTAGTAGATTAGCCAAAGAGTCAGTCCCCATGTTTTTAGTTTGAGAAAAAATTTTCCCAGAAAAATATTATAATCTTAAGATACCTAAATTCATAAATAAATTCATCAATATTAAGGTTTTTCGGCAGTTTTGCTTTCTTTTAATTTTTTACTTTTTAAAAATTTTAATTCTATAAAGTCGAAAATTAATAGTGAGAAAAATATTGAAAAATTAAAATAAATTGATACATATATATTAAGTCTAATAAAACAAACTAACTATTAAGATTGTGCAAAAACTCCAGAATCAACTGAAAATAGAGGAATTCACGCGGTTCATTCAAATAATTCAAATATAAATTTGAAGTTTGTATATTTGTTGACGTGTAGCGTATGCAGAAGAGGGGGATTCAAGTAATACGAGTTAGCTTGTCAAAACTGCCAGATTCATCTAAAAATATGAATATTACGATTGTTTCAAGCTTTTCCTTTTTAATATGTTTAGCGAAATGTGAATGAACATATATATATATTATTTGTTTCAAAACCTTATAAATGCCACGAATAAATAAAAATACAGGAAACGCTATTACTATTAAATTCGATTTTTCAGAACACCTGGCTATAACAATTATTTTTAAAAATTTCCCACAAAAATTCTGAGAAAAAAACACGCAACGGGACTCTCCGATCCAATCCTTTGACGAAAACAACGTACTTTCCCATCTTAAGCTTGTGATATAAATAAGACAGATCTTTTAATTACAAGTCCTCGTTGAAGACGTGGCGTGGTATACGTATAGATAGATGTATTACATACAGTGTAGCAAAATAGTATTTATTTGAAACGTCAGTGTAGATAGATTATGCTAATATTTACAGATTTAGATTTATTAAATATACGGTTATATAACAAAAATATTTCTTTTACGAAAGAACAGTTTCAATTAGGAAAGAAACGGAATTCTGAAATCCCAGAGAAAGGGAGAAATTGAAAACGTATAAGAATACTTCCGAGGGAGAGAAGAGAAGTTTCCAAATAAGTGAAAATGGGACGAATCAAGGTAATCGAACGATCTGTATTTCTTCAGTTGGCCAATATATTTATTTCGTTCGCTAGATTCAGATAATTTCAGGAGTCGTTTTAATGACTACAAGTGTTCACAGTTTTTAAAAACGAAGATAATGTTCATCCCATTATTTCAAGTAATTTCATTTGCTTGTTAGTATTCGGCAGTTTAAAATACTGGCCATGGTTTTTAGGTTACTAGTAGGAGACTTCAGCTAAAAAAAATTGCTGATTTACCCTATTTTCAAAAGAAACAAAATCTATGGTTGCCAAATATACGAAAAAAAAACAATTACGTCAATCCAAATATCACAGCAAGGTATATTTATCCATTAGTAGTTCAAACCTTTCATCAAAATATTTAAATATTCGGAATAGAAAGCTCACAAAATCTTAATATACACTTTTTTCCGACAGACGTGTTATTTTCCTAACATTAATCGCTTGAAAATCGATTATTTTACCGGAAACAGTGGCACTACATCCTCATATAACGGTTGATAATTTATAAGCGGCTTTGGTCTCTCGCATGTATTCCCTTAAGTTTTTTATGAATTTACACTCGAGATGTATTGGCAATTCCTAATTTCTAAATTGAGCGAAGAAACAAATGTTTCGCTCTTTTAACAATGATGATCTGATCGATGTGTCGGCTAAATTTGTTTAAAAAAGATATTTAGTGACCCCTAAAATCCACAGCGCGATGGGTTATCAGTAGAAATTGTATTTAAGGGAGAGGGTGTTTTACATTGCTGTAACTGAAATATTCATATTCGAGATACGATAATTTGTCACAATAAGTATATAATAGTTGCTTTTGAAAGGCAGTTGCCAATATTGTGGCTGTCCCAATCTCAAATAATAAAGTTCAACGCAAATACGTTAAAATAGTTATAAAATGAATAAAAATGTAAAAGTGAAGATATCAATCACTTTCGTGACGGCCCAAATACTTTGATATAATAATAAATGGGATAATAATGTCTATTGAGAAAGCTGCAACCTAGCAAAGGTATTCCACACTATTATACCTCGAACAAGGATCTATACAATCAGTTTATCCAGGCGCAGGGTCTACCAAGAACGATCAAAACTATTTCGGTTTGGCTATGCCCAATCAAGTTTCACACCCTATGTGAAAAAGTGCTAGCAATATGGTTGGAATTTCAGAAATATTTAACTTCATTCCTTTGCATTGAAGCCATAAATAACAAGAATACCAACCTATAAAACTGTGGTTGGTATGTTAGGTCGCGGCGGTTGGTTTGTGATGTTAACAATCAATGACCGTTACCCAGTTGTAGGGTTATATAGCAGTGTGAGCAAATAATCATCATTGTATTCAGGAAATTTATGGCTCTCATTTTTAAGTTTATCGAATAAACAACATATATTTTTTATATTATTGATCAAGATAGTCTTGATATTTTTACTGGATTGGTACATGTAAAATATTAATTGATATTATACGTGGTTTTTATTAGTCAGTTTCGGACAGTCGCAAACTTAGTCATTTAAGGGATTATATTCAAACTGCATAGCGTGGGGATACCTGTAACGTGATCGATACAAATTGATAAATGTCTAAGATTGAAATTGAATAATTAATCCTGGATGTAATTGTTACACACAAAATGGCAGACATATCATTGAAACAGAAGACGAGAAAACAATGCTCACTTAAACTGTCTTTAAAAACCGTTAGTTATACTGGGAATAGGTAGCCAGAACTTAGAAAGTGGATGTGTTTTTCTAGATTGTACCTAGACGTATTTCATAGTTCACTCTAATGGTCAGAGATAAAACAATCTGAAATAGACCCAGTGTTAAATCTAGTTTTGTCTTCTATGATATTTATAATTTATGGATGCTATAGATTACTATAATAAGGACTCTTGGATTATGTTATCTATTATATATAAATTATGTTATCTATTATATATCAATACATGGCAGATTTATATAGCGATTAAATACGATATAATAAGATTCTAAGTTGTATAACTAAATCTACAGTTGAGTGTCGATACACACATGCTGGTATTATTTGCTTTAATATTTATATTGAACTCCTATGCGTTTAGCACCATTGTCGTAAAAGTGAAAGATTAATATAAAATTTGATAAAAGGCTATATATATATATATAGGAAAGCCAAAAAATTTTGACCGAAGTCGACGATACGATCTCGATGCGTTGAGCATGACACGGGTAACTATAAACTGTTGGTTAATAATTAGCTATTCCTAAGAATCGCCGGGCAGTGCTCCTGTGAACTCACGCAACCAGTGAGAAAAACGTTGAAAGAAATGGACAAAACAAGCCATAACCAATACCACCCGGAATCTCAGTTTCTGATTCAACTGTTTCGTCAAATGCATTTTGTATAGTGGACTTGCTACTATATTGGCATCTTTACCTACGCAAAAGATACTGCTTGGTATTTTCACAACAGGTCAGTGCGCTCCAGCTTTCGCCAGTTACTGGCATTCAGTGAGAATTCTTTGTTTAATGATAAAGCGCTTTTAACAACTAAGCGTATTTTCTGTTTTTTCTTTTTCGATTTAAGACGCAAATACGCACGATTAAAACAAGAATGGGCATTTGGTAATTATTGAACTTGAGATAGGCGCAGTTGAAGAGAATCTCATGACTATTGGGCGTGAAATATTTGATCGCTCAGCCAGGTTCCTAATTCTCTAATACCGCTCCACGTTCGGCGGTAAATGTCATTTCATTGTTCTGAAAATGTTTAGATTTGATTTGCAAAATGCATCTCAATGTCACGTATGGAACGCATATACACTATAATTTCGGCCGTGTATAGATACCAACCCCGCGTGTTCTTTTGGACTATAGTGTGCGTATTCGCTCACAAGTTTGGAATGTGGGTGTGGGCATATGTTTGGATTGTGGACTTTTTCAATAGCACCCTAAAAACTAGTATGCAAATGAGTATGTAAGTGGGTCGTCCGCGGCCAAACGGTTTTGTTTATCGCGCTGCCGGGGCAATATTTTCAAAGTGTACGCTGTCATACTGTTGTCTCTGTCTGCGTCGAAGAAACAAATAGGGTTGGGTTACAAAGTGATAACACACTCGAATCAGTCGCAATTAAGGTTGGAACAACCATAAAAAACACCATGCATAGTATCAAAAATGTCTATTTTTGGTATAGCAAAAACCCGCCAAGGTCGACCAATAAAATTTCCGTAAAAATCCACCGCCTTCTTTAATAATCAGTACACTACCGCAAAGGGGGGAAAACTAGTGATACTAATTCAGTTATATAGTGTTCCAAAATTACAATAACAGGAGTGGAAACCAAAAGTATTTAGAACTACGCGATTCAAGTCAACTGGCACATGTAGATAGTAACCAAATTGAAACTGAATACAGCTCCAATGGGTAACAGTGCTATATCAGTAATGAGTCATATCTAATTTTGGCACTAGGAAAGCATAGTATATATATATATAAGAAATACGGAGAAACTATATTCTCGTAAAGGTCGTGGAGGTAAAGTTTGACTATAGTTTGCATAAAAAACAGGAGAAAAGTAAGGGGCGAGGATAGAATTCGTCGCCAGGGCAATTTGGGGTTTTCAGAAACAGAACTTGTACGCAAATTAACATGTGGTACTATTCAAGGTAGGAATAATAATTAATCAACATCACAGATCAAGCTAGTCCTATGAACAGGTAAGGTCATTTACTACAGGAACATACTTGGCAGTAAAAATATACGATGTAGCGACATTGTTTGGGGAGCCGCGGTTGTTTTGCACACCGAATTTGAATACTAGTTTTTTTGAGAAGTTGTTGACTGTACTAGACAAGTGCGGAACAAATATAATATTATTGAACTGTGGTCCAGGTAATAAAGTGGTGTAACAAATGTTCTATTCATGTGAATACGCACACGTTGAAAAACAATATAGAAACACAATTGGTCGCTGATAGGTTGAAATAAATCGTGAATGTAATTGTACATGCGTGTCATGGATACCTGAATACGCTTGGGCTTCCTTAACAATACGGCCAAATACTGTATTGGCGGATAAAAAATCTTTCAAATAGGTGTTTTCAAATTACAAAACCACGAGCATTTTCAAAATAAAAAAATAATTGTTAAAAATCCACTATATTCTGCAAAAGATTTCATTGTGACTTTAGTTTTTTCGAAAACGTTTTCTAAAATTCCCAAGACCAAATTTTACCCCAGAAACATGACCAATATTGACAGCTTCTAACCAATTTGACTTGCGATTGATTGGCATCAAGATTTTTACTCAAAATGGTGGCCAGATTAAAATTTATACCAGTAACCATTCATTCGTCACATTTACTACAAAAAACCTAATTGCTTAACTGATACTGGCTTGTATTGCGCGCATGTTTAATAGGTTAGCAAAGTCTTTCTAGGCAACTTGATCTCTCAAAAAAAATTAGAGACGTTAAAAGGTGGTGCAAAAATTTTCAAACAAGAAAATTCAGCAAGAATATGAAAAATAGAGTTTACCAAAGATAAATTCAGTGTACAGGATCTGATCAATACTTTTGCACTTTGTGTGGTAATATTTAATGCGATTGAATTGATAAACATAATATATTTTTATCGCCTTTATTATTGAGTAATAAAATACATAAAAATCTAAAATTAAATTCGGACCGGCCTTATCGGTCGGTTAATGGGTCTCCGAAAAGAAAAAGGCTGGTTCTAGCTCCTGTATCGTGCAGTGTTCCCCCTGGTAATATGAGTGTGGGCATATCTTGCAAAATCCATACTGGCGAGCCATTTCAACACATTATAGGTGAACATCAAGATTATAGATTAAGGCTTGTCGGAAACTATTACAATATTGTCTGTAACTTTCTGTGTATTGATCATCATATCCCAAAGTTTTCAATATAAAGCTTAAAAGTGGAATAGCTCCTATATAATAATACTCGGTGTGCAAATACATTATTTTAATGAAATGCAATCGATTAGCATATAAAATTCATTTGTTGAGGGGGGCACTCATCCAACAAACTCTAATTTAAATTACTAATCCTTTGATACATATTTGCTACCCGCTTGTCAACAGCCTGTTCACCATAACAGTAAAGCGACTTTGTCGTAATATCTGACTTCAGAATTTGACTTGCCTGAAACTTGACCACTCTACTGGCGATTCTGCAAGAAAACTGTCTAATAGATTTATAAAAATTTATAAAAAAAAATAATTACGCGGGTCAGGTAGCGAGTGCATACGTGAAAAATAATAATAAAAAAGGACTAAAAAAACCGAAAGTGCGTAAAGCGTGCGTCAAGGTTTCACTGAAGGGAAAGCCCCTTGCTTGAAACCAAGGTTTCATTTCTCTCGTTTTTAACACTCTCTCACTTTTCAAGCTCGTCGAGGAGCGGTTAGCGAGACTTTCATCCGCCTATGAGATGATCGCATTTTATTTGACAAGTGATCGGGTTATTTTATTCAGTTTATATTCAGTCAGGCTACGGTAGGTCAGGTAGTTCGACAGAAGGCATAGAGATTGTACGACTTATTCTTCAATTAGTTGCAAGAAACAATAGTGAAAATATAACCAGAGAATTTCGTCGTTTTCCTGACATTGGAGAACGCCACATTTGCAAGTCGGAAAACCGCGGGAACTACACTTCATGACAAAGTGGTACGTATGCCTAATTATAAATTTCCCTAATAATTTAGATATGCAATCTTTCTTTCACTCGAAAAGAAAACATAACCTTGCATTTGGATTCATAAATTTTATTCCAGAATAGAAAAAATAAAAAATGTTTGGGGTAATACCGTAGGCTACCTTGTTGAGCATTGTACGTAAATAGCTTAGGTAAGCTGCATTTCGTATAAATACTTCATTGTCCACCTTATTTAACAATGATTAATTTATAGCACGATGGCAATGAACCAGTCATTTTGTATTTGCTAAGTTTACTTTAATACCCTTCTACCGATGCCAAGCCAGGGGATTTTAAGTTTTCTTATTTTTTTTTACCCCTCACGGTTATTACCCGGTAGCTTTCACTAATTTGGCTATGTGTCTTGTCTTTATAGTTAGGATTAGACAGTGTACCTGGGGTAGGGGTATGATCGCATTCGATATATTGTCAAGCATTCAGACTCCCAGTTTGGTATGTTTATATATTTACGCAACAAGGCGTAACTATTGTCACAGAACCGATACCGTAGAACGTTGCAATTGTACAGTTTCTAGAATCGGTAGTAGGTGGTACTATTATTAGTAAAATTGTATCAAAGGTTGCCGTCATGAGTTTTATAAATCACAGTTTAAAACGTTTAACGTCCCGTACATAAAATGGCGGCAGATACTCCATTACCGAACAACTGAAATAATATAAAATTTGTAAGGTGAAAATGATAAGCTTAAGTAAACGCTTCGCGAAACTCATGCGACGAGCAAGCAATACATTCAAAAGTAGCACGTGGAGGAAGTAATGGTCGAGACTAAAATCCTAGTCACGTCGGAAAAAAATTCCCACAATCGTAACAGTTGTATTGCATTTTTCAAGAACAACATCATGATATGTAATACTTAAATATCGTTGTTGGCCTTGTGGAACGTGCTCATTCATTAGGAATTCTTGTCGCTGTAATCGCGCGGGAAATTTTAACACTGCCATTCGAAATACTATTAAAAACAAGAACCGCCCACACAGTATGAATAGACGAGGTAACGCTGTTGGTAGTTAATAGATAATTTGTAATTCCCCTTTCGTTTCCTCGTTATCCGCTTAGTGAAAAATTTAAAAAATATATTTTACATCTCTAAATTCCATATTGAATTGCATTACAGAATGAAAAATGAACTTGACAAATGCACGTACGCCGAACCCGCTTAACCGTAATTTGTTTAATAAAAAATGGCGACCGATCGATCATGTGTTGCGCGCCTCCGCGAGTAATGCCTTCTCGCAAACTCTCTTTCGCTCTCTGGCGGATTTCGCATTTACTGTGGTTCTTTACTCATTAAAAAATCACCTAGCCCTTGCAAGAGTAATGAACATTGCAATATTAATATATTACTAGTTATTCATTTTATTGCAGATTTGGCGCATCAATCACACGCACAAAAAGTCGCGAATTCAGAAAAAAATGGAGGAGAGGGAGGAGTTTCAATTGAGGCGGAGATTAACCACGCCAAGGTGAATTTTTATTATTCCTTTTTTTTTCATATTTACGAGGGGTGATCCCAATAAAACTTCATAAACCACAGCCTGTTACTCCGCTTACAGACACAGGTCGGATATGGGTTTTGTTAGCCAATTAATAACTGTTTCATATGTATGAACTTCGACGTACGAATGTACGATTGGCAGTTCAAGTTAAGTAATCCAAACGCATATAATTAACCCCGACAGGTGCGAACCTACCGTACGTGGGGTAGTCACGTGTGCGTTGGCAAGTACTATCTAACGCTAAACACGATGCGCCGAACGTAGAGTCGTGCTAGCCTAAGTTATAAACCAAGGCTGATTATAAATAAACTTGCCACAACACTTGATAAAGTAATATACACTTTGCAAATCGCAATAAATTGCTGGTGGTTGTTGATTAATGAAGACAATTCCGGTTTTAGTTAATTATTACCCAACAGGTAACTTGTGGCTTGTCACGTAGACGTTACTCCCACTCGAAATCGGACTATTGAATGACAAGTCTTTTCATGTAGCTATATTCAAGTTTCTGCGGTTTCCTCCAGATTCCCAGGACTTTCAATTTTCATACTCAGGTTTCCAGTATCCAAATCAATAACTACGGTATTTCCTAACCACTGAACCCACAAACATATTTGAACCATGTTTTTTTATTAAAGCCTAGTTCAAATATGTCTGTAATAATAGAAAGTACTCGCGCAATTTTATTCAACTCGCAGTATGACTATCAGTAATATTTTATCAGAATAATGAGACTCAATTTCAAGAGAGCTCACCCTTTTGCTTAAGATTAGGCAAATTAGGAAAGGCATCACTGGAAACATGAGCGCCAGCCATTCCAGAAATGATGTCTATAAATCATTCCTCCAGTACCTGCACTCTTACATGAATTTTGCGTTCTGCTCACTTTCATACATATCAAAATACACAGAATAGATTCAAGATGCTGAGTTGAGAGATGCTGAGAATGAATCAGCACTCAAAAAGCCCCTCTACTTCTTTGTTTTGTCGGAAAAGAATAAAGTAAAATTGCCATACCTGGTACACCCATTTCATGAAGTTTCCTATGCTCTTCATAAATATTTCGATGACGAAACAATCGGCCACACCCTGGCCATTGGCACGTTTGCCCTCCTGAAGATCGCCTTGGTTTTCTTGAGAATCCAGCCATAATAGAACTGTGCAGAAAATAATACGAATAACATATCAGTATCTGCGACTGTAAAAAGAAAGAAATAGAAACCAAAATTTTCTAAACTCACTTTTCTTCAGTAACTTGATTTGGAGAAACCAAAATGGATTGTGGTGGCATAACATTAGCAGGGCTCACGGTATTCTGCATCCTTACCAGTGCATCGAGTGCCTCTCTCATTTTTGGATCAGTAGCTTTGTTTGAGGCTCCGTGCATTATGAGTTTATCAGGTACAATACGAACAGGAGGTGCGCGCTGTACTGTCAGTGGCTTAGAACTTTTTGGCATGGTGAGATCGAGAGCAAAATTATCTTCATTATCACTTTCTGTGCGACTGCTGTTAGCAACACTTGCAGTTGTTGAACTTGTGGATTCCGCAACTTCATGCTCTAGTAGAGAAAAAGAGACATCAGCAGGAGGCGAGGTTCTTGATTGGTATTCAGCTTTTACTCTTTGTGTCTCTGCACGATCACCAGTCTCATTGATATCTTGATTAACTGTGATCTCATCGTTTTGTATTTTTTCGCTAAACGAAGTTGGAAATCCCAATTCTTCATAATTTTCTTGCTTTGTGGTATTCCTCACAACACCAACACATTCTGCTGTATCTTTTTCTTCATTTTCTGGCACATCTTGTGATTCTTCAATTACCAAGTTTCTTTCTTCTTCATCATTTGGTTCATCTTTGAAAGAATATGCAATGAAGTTAGTTAAATATCAAGTTTATTTAATAATATTGCTACTTTTCATTCCTTTAAGTATTCACCTAACCATGGTGAATAGTTCAAAAGTCCATATTTTGACATGATATGCACATGCTTTCAGAAGACATAATCACCAAGCCACAAAATGCAACATTATCTGTCATTTGAACTTGACATTGAATAAACCTTCTGCAACTATTTAAATATAATCAATATCATATTCTCCCATCCGTCTGTTTATACTCAAATGACATTTGTCGGTTTGGAAATTTTGCTTACTTAATCTATGAAATTTTATGCAAGTAGTCTACTACTACTATTTAGTTAGTATAGTGTAATTTATTCGTAGCGAAGCCAGGGTCGCAAGCTTTTGACTAGGAATAGGAAACTTACTAACTCCCAGAAAGGATACACATGACCATGTACTAATTTCCCCCTTAATATCTATTGTTCTTGCGATAGGGAAACCAGTGAATAACTGTTTAAGTATGACTTTCAAGTTATCTTTATAATTTCAATTTACAGTAAGTTTTTTAAAAAATTGTTTACCGATTAACAAAAATTGAAATATCCATTGCAATTACCAATGCTGTATCTTGTATTTGATCCATATTTTCATAATGTAATTTTTCCGCTTTCGTCTTAAACAAGAGTCTGAGAGAGAACTCACTGATATGCGAGGGGACGAATGAATTTTTGTACTCCCGAAGTATGCGTACCAGGTTAGGGTTAAGCCATAATTTTATTCCGATTTTCCTTATTTTAGCTCTATTACGGGTTCTGGGATTGTATGTCTTTGCCAAATGAATATCCCCCTGCCCATAGGTTTCAGTCCCTATACACATCTTGATGTAAAATAGGCGAACAGAATTAGTTACCGGTACCTCCCTATTGGTACACATACTTTAGGAGCGCCTAAATTTTAATTCAACCGAATTTGTTTTAATTTAACTTGTGGTGCTAATGCTAACATCGAAAGTTTCGACAATTAATCACACCCACGCAAAAATAAATGAAACCAACCTGGGGAATTTACAGATGATGACGATTCTTTACTTTTATCAGATGAGGCACCAACAAACAGAGCACCAACTGCATTTGTAGCTTGTTCAATTGATATAAGAGCCGAATGATCGCCGGGAACTTTGCTTTGGCTTTCCTGTTCTTTGGATGATGTCTCATAATGGTAACTTTCTGTATTGAAAAGCCTTGGTGACAAACTAACAGAGCGAAAGTCGTGAGATTTCGTTTTATTTTTTGGGCTGCCAGATGAAGAATGTTGCAAAGGGGTTTTCGTAAAGTCCAGAGACTGTGTACGAGTCCATCTGGTTTTAGCAGTGATGGAATGGTCACTGGTAATTTGAGAATCAGATGCTGCAGAGATAGGAGATATCTCAATTCGGGGGGATGAGCTGAATGAGGCAGGGGAAGATGCCATATAACGCGGTGTGGTCAAGTCCGCAGGATCTGTTGTGGATCTGGAATTATCCATAGTAAGATTGGTTGAACATGGTGTGCCAGACAGATGAGTAGTATTCCCATCTTTATGATTATTTCCTACTGATCTATCATCACTCCATGCACTACCCTTACTACTTTCATCATGCATATCTGACGTTTGTTGTCTGATTGATGTTTGAGATATAGTTGAATCCTGAAAAGTAAATGGTTTCTAATATATTAGACTTGAAAGTAGATAAATGCATAGTACAGTAAAGATAGAAAAAACTTACAATATCAGTGGTGATCAAAACGAATGGCTGCATCTCTTTAGAAATCAGATGAGGGTTGTTTACATCGAAGGTGCAACCTGAAAAACAAATCAGTGTATGCAAATTATATTACATGCACTGGAATCTAGGTATGGCATAATTTTCTTGATATTGGATTTGTAGCAAGAGTTACATTTCCGAACTCTGTGGGATAAATCAAAAAAATTGAACAGTAATCAAAATCAGAATTTCAACAGAGATAAAACAAAGTTGGGATTGAAATTTGAATCGTGTAAATTTTCCCAGACTGATATTGCTGGCAATTTGCAATGAATACGTCGGCTTTATGAGCTAAATATAGAGAACATGTTTATGATATTAGGGATCAATGCCCTATATATGTGCATAGCAGATATGTGCATGCCAAAAGTATCCACAAGGGAATATAAATATTATCATTTCTATTAGTGTAAAAATCTTCCTTCGTAGCTTAATGGTTAACATATTAGTCACTAATTATTATCAAAATCTTGATAATAAATCTTGTTTGAAACCTAGACATTTATAGGTGACCACTTTAACCCAGTACACCGTGCTAGGTAGTATAATGTCTAATGATATTAACCCAGTCCTTTTAACCCCAAAAATACTTTTGAATGTCTGTAATTGAAGTCCTAGTTAATAACTGTGCTGTGTCTCCATGTTAAAGTATACCACAGTCCACCATTCCTACTCAAACTTGAGTCTACCCACTAGTTCGTTCGGGTGCGTGTTACCGAAAAAGGGATTTTTACGCACCTGTATGAGCAGTGGTCCGATTCGCTATGTTGACGTCATCGGTGGAAACAAGTGGATTCTGCATTAGCTGTAGAAAGGTAAAGAAAACTCAGGTTTCGATAGAAGTGAAATGTATATATAAATTCATGATAACAAATTATTCGAAATACAGAGCAGGAATTCGGACGAATGTAAATCTATTAAATTGAACACTGCCTCATTAATTAAGAGACCTTAACCCTTTCCATGCGATTATTAAATAATCGTATTTGCGACGCCGACTTCATGCATTTGTACCCCCACAACTGATCGATAGACTAACGAAAAAGTAATGATCCTCTGCTGCCCACTGACGGCTCGTTGGAAAGCTTATTTAAAGAGCTTGCAATTGGCGATTAAAAAAAGGGGTGGTCTGAGTCACAAACCGGATAGAAAAAAGGCATTTTTTTTCTTGGGTGTTGAAACTTCAAACCGTGATAAAAAAATGAAATATTCGCTAAATCCTTTACTGTTACCGCTTCTTGGTTGGCAAACAATAGCATAATATTGCTGTAGCAATTTCGTTATCTAACTCAAAATACTTTGGTAGATGGAAGGGATAATATGTCTTCTATTATCACCCAAAAAACACCGAAATTTGCATAAATTTCAAAAACACTCCCTCGTTCCGCCGCAAATAAAATTCCCATGGTAAACGAAAGCGGGATTTACCGTCACTTATGTTAATCTCGAAGAAGACTTCTTATCAATAAACTAAAACTCGGAAAAACTAGACCAACAGTTTGCGACCGATTGCTAAATAAAACAGTGAAGTACATCAACGTACCCGCCGCAATCTAGCGAGTTTTGTCGTGGGTACGTATACGTGCCCACCGCACGGAAAGGGTTAAGGAAGCCAAAATCATATTATAATTTTATTCCACCTTGAGTATTACAATAACTCAGAATCAAGTTCATAACCAATCAGAAACGCATTTATTTATTTATGTTCTATCAACTTCTATCCCTAATATCTGAGAATGTTAGAATAGAAAATTCAAAAGCGAAGGCATTTTGAAATTTATTTCAAATGGATCTTTAGAATATATTTATTTAAACTTAAGTTACGTACAGACTGGGTTTGAGGTTTTACTGTTGAAGGCTGTGTTGGTGTTGGGATGCTTATAGGCCTGAGATTATGATCCACTATCTGACTTGCTGTAACCAAACTGTAAAACAAAATTGTGAATAGATATCTTAGATAATTTAACATTTCTATGTCTAATACAAGTCTTACCCCAAAATATTATCATATAATAAGAGAAATTGATCAAAAAATTCACCATTGACTTGTGAAGATAATATACAAATTTTTTTTAAATTGAGTAACTTAAAAAAAATGTTCACCAAGTATATTGCACTTGAATTTAGATAAGAGTGAAAATACAGTAAATCAACTTTCTGCTCTTTGGAATTGTACTCCTCATATATTGAATTGATTCAAGCAAATTTCTCAAATATGGGTATCAATTTTTGAATAGTAAATAGTTCAATGTCAGGTGACTTTGATATATGTAATTACTTATACATGATAAAGCACTGAAATTTTGACATTGCCATATCACGAAGTTTGACTAATTCAGCTGATGATTAAATTTACTAACTTGCTATTAGCGGTAGGAACCGGCACGCCTTTCTCTTGCGTTTCCCCAACAGGAATCAGTGCGGGAGGAGGTTGTTTAAGTGTAAATCTCTCTGCATTCTCCGGTTGAGTAGTTTTCGTCAACAAGAGTTGACGAACCTCATTGAGAGTAGGTCTACGGGCATTTTTTGCTACAAGGTAGGGCATCAACACTGTGAGAGCTTCGGATGTTGGGTTGGTCAGAGGAAGTTGAGGTGGAATCGGAGTGTGAGTAATACTAACACTTTGATGAGGTCCGTGGATGATAGGTTGCATAGCTGAAAGTTGTGTTCATCATTTATTATACAATTAGGTAATTTCTTAGGATTATAGTAAAACTGTGTTCATTTGGAAAATAGTTTAGTTGTTTTGGCCCTAGATAAAACAGATTGTGCTTGAAAAATTTCATTGGACAAAAACTGACAAACAAAAGTGCAAACTAAGGATAATTATGTCGTTTATTGGGAAAAATTAGCGATAGTAGTTGTTACATGCTTGCTCATTTTATGATTTCTTGCGGCCTAGTAATTTAGGAATTTACAAAATAAATAGAGGGTCAAGGGTTCTCCTGAAGTATGTGTACCAAGATGGCGGACACCGGAACGTAGTATGTGTCCTGGGTTGGGCCATAATTTTATTCCAATTTTCCTCATTTTAGTTCTTTTACGAGTTCGGGGACTAGCCAAGTGACTCTCAAAGTATTCGTATCTAAAATTATGGCCTAACCATAATCTGGTACACATACTGCGTTCTAGTGTCCGCCATCTTGGTACGCATACTTTGAGAGTACCGGGTCAAGAGCCTGAGTCTTCGACCTAACGAGAATATCCCTCTAAGTTATGGCATCAGAAATTATATACAAATGATTTGTATTGAATATATCAATAAAGAATTTTATTATTTATGCTATTTTACAGAATATAATACATCTGTACAATTTGATATATTCTGCCAACATACTTGGAGGAATCTTAAGTTGATCTGATTTCTCGTAAGTTGGAGGAGGGTAGTTTGGTGTAGCACCAGATGGATAAGTTAATTGCTGCGAAGTTGGTCTCTGATCAGAATGAGTATATTGAACTGTTGTCTTCTGTGGGTGTGCCATAGACTGAATGCATGATGTTCCAACGGTCATAGATTCCTAATCATTAAGAGAGAAATAGAATTGCATTTATTCTTCTTGTGTGAAAGAGTACCAACAATAACAGTGAGTATATAGTTGAATATGACAGATAGAGTACAATAGTTAGTTGTACCCTTTTTTCATAAATTTATAAAGAGGTATATACAAAGATGGGACCTCCCGAAGTATGCGCACCAAGATGGCGCACAGCCTGAATTCAGGTTGTGTACCAGGTTAGGGTTCAGGTTATGCGACATCTTGGTGCGCATACTTCGGGAGTACCCAAAGATGTATAAATGAACCTAATATACAAATACATTTGTAGTAGTTATATTCTATGCACCCCTGGGGAGCTAAACCGAAGACGTTTTGTTTGTAGCTATCAGAAGTGGCTCCAGCATCAAACAATATTATTTTTCCCAGCTCAAAAAATATTTTTTAATTAATTTTCATTACTAATTTAAAAATTCAATTTTAAAATTTGAAACATTGCTTTGGGCTGATGTATCATGGCAGTAGAAGTCATATCAAAAACATCAATGGTTATGAAGCCAACATGGGAAAAAATAAAGCTGGAGCCACAGGTTGAATATATGTACTGTGACCTTAGCTGGATCCAGAGCCATTATAATTTCAACCAGCTCCCCATCCCTGACTTGATTTAGAAAAGAAATTTGCAAAAAGGTGATAAATGCCGTCTTTACTGCAGAGTTACTAAAATGTGTGATTAATTATTATTTCTGACACAGCCTTTCTAATGCGCTTCATTTTAATTAAAAATCAATAATTTGATATGTAAATTTACTGAGCTGCAGGCTTCAGCCAACTTTTAATCGTTTTTATAGTAATAAAGCTTCAATACTTCATAATTTTGGCAATCTCAAGTAAGTCGCTAACAACTCCCAGAATTTGCCTAGATGCTTCTTTGAAAATGATTGGACATCAACATAAAAACATGGTATAAAATATTACCCGAAGGTGAAAAATTTAACACGAATCAATTAGTACCTACATTATTCTAAAATTAAGAGTCCTCCTCTACAAAAATTATTTCAGACATTAAAATTTGAGGCAAAAAATCAATTTTAATCAAATGCCTATCAACACAGCAGTATGTTTATGAGGCATATGCCTAGTGTGCTTAATTTTCCCTGAAATTTTATGTACTGCTGCCCAAATGTGTATTCAAATAAAAGCAATTAATTCATAACTAATGACCAAAGAATAAAAACAGCTGTTTTTGGTAAGCTGCTTCCAGCATTTTCTCATGTCCACTTATCTTTTGGAAAAGATAATGTGGTGTTATTAAAATACAATATAACCACAAACCACCATAATTGTAAAACCAAAACTGAATCATGCCAGGCGGTTCACATTTTTGAGTTAATTTGACAGCTATGCAAATTTAATCACATGTATGCAAATTCATTTTTCATTTCAATTATAGCTTATAGGATATTGTTCATCAGAATTGATTCTTCAATTTCAATAAATATTTTCTGCATCTAGAAATCCTCAACAGCATGACGTATTTATATACCTGTCACTCTGAATAAGGTTCTGAATAAGCATCCATCATAGGAATGGAATTACTATAGTTTGGAAGAACTGGAAACACCTTGAACACACACTGAATCCACATACTTAATAAGTTTAGCACCTACATATATTAGCTCGCAAGTCAAGTCTCCCATGAGGCTGTTATTAGCCTTATCTTTTTTTTTTGTTTCTTCTCTTGGAAAAATTATTGCAACCCAATATCGATGCTGTTTAAAAAATTGTACAACCATATAGGTTTTTTAGGCAACCGATTTATATTTGTGCTCCTCCATTTTTTTCAGTAGCAGCCATAATTCAATATAATAACCTTGGTAAAATAGTAAAAGACTATTGTGCTGTGTACAACAACTCTTTCTAGAGAATTTACCATGTTTCGAGGTACAGGTTAAGATGTTCAACATACCTTTTCATTACCAGTAACATGCGGTCCAATAGTACTAGTAGTACTATCAACTCTCGGATGTAATTCTTGGCCACCTGGATGATTCCCTGGCCCTCCTGCTGAAACTTGGAATGAAGAACGTATAAAGTTGAGGCAGGTTTCAACAACATTAGTCATCTGCAAAACAGGAAAATATAGAAAATGAACGTTTAACTTTTCTTTTAATTAAATTTTGATACAAAAACTTTTTTACACTTTCAGCCAAAAACTCGATTGTATAAATATATATATAGGCTACTGAACATTTTTTATTTCAGAACATTAGTCTATAATTATATACAATACAAAGCCCTTGGTGTTCAAACTTCTGCAGCTATGGAAAATATTCACAGTGCAAATAGCTATTCATATTTTCACTGACAATATGGGTGTGCATTCTTTATGGAGACACTTTTATGTCAACTGAGCAAATATCAAGGGATTTCCACCTTACTTATCAAAGTACAGTATCTAATACACAATGAGAGGTGAAGAGCATACATCATACTCGGACAGTGGCATTAAGCCAAGTAATTGGTGATCCTTTATACCTCATGCCTCAAAAGTCAACTGAGTCAAATTTCCATCATTTAAAGACTGTTGAAGTCAAGAGTTTCTTAAACTGGGTTCTTGGCCTACCTAGAGGGCCGCGAACGGGTCTCTGGGAGGCTGCAAACATAGATTTTTAATAGATAACGTTTGTGATGACTTGATTAATTCGGAGTAAATGGACTGTGATATTTTTTTGTCTGTAATGCATTTATTCTTCTGTTTTTTTGTGTTGGCTCTGTATTAATAAACATGGCGAACAAAATAACTGGTAGAAAACCTTGTAAGTGTAAGTGTGAGGTTGAGTATCCTTATTTAAGAACAGAGGGCCACAAATGTAGGATCTTTGAAAGGTTTGAGAACCACTGGTCTTCAAATCATTGCCGATGCTATTAGGGGATGGGAAAAAACGCGGAAAAAATTGAATCAGTTATTTTTACTTCAGATTATTATAAAATGATGAAACAAATTTTCTGCAATTAAAGAGCCATTTCGCAGGTTAAGTTTTGATATGTATACCTGGAGACAGTTTGCTGCATATAAGACCTGATCACTGTTCTCAGATGTAATTGCGAGGCTGCCAGAATAAATGTAATCAAGAAGAACTTCAAATCCGCTGGGTGACAGTTTCTCAAAGTTTAAAGTTGAGGTCTTTGCATTTTCAGAATCAGCGAAAAGTGCTCTGCAATGCAATATTAGTTGATTAAAATTGTACAACACTATGTAGTGAGTGGTGCCAAGGGGTCTTCACAATATCAAATGTGTCTAACGTTGTGCAAGTCCAAACCTTTATAAAAACATGTTGGTAAACTCATAAAGCATATATCAATTAAATGAAATACTAATATATATTCTGATTGATGGCATATTGGCAGCTTTATGGAACAATTCAAACAATGAGATGATTAGTTTGAATAAAATATCACATGCTACCATGATGGCCAACATTATATTATTGTTGAAAAGCACCAAAAAGAAAAAAAGTTTTGTGACAAGGCTGTTTAAAATTCCTCTTTTTACTTGAATTTTTTGGTTGTTGATTTGAAAATGAGTTTATTTTTTCTTAGCATATGAGTGTTCATATTCTTAACTTCTCCACTTTTTTATGTACTCGACTAACTGTTACTATAAGCCATAATTTGTTTAAATCTGTTCTGAGGGCATGAAATTTATTAGATCATTTGAATAAAGCGATGCGCAAAAAAGTGTTCTAAAACAAGTTATCGATTTCAATACCCTGAAGCCCCAATAATTTTTTCAGACTTCGAAATCGAAGAGTTTGTCCTGTCGAGAAGACAAACCTCACTCAACACAAATTTAATAACCACTCTGAGAGAGAACAAATATTCGAGTGATTACCAATATTATCAGAATCTTGATAATCCAAAAAAAAGGGTGACACATAGATAATTTATTATCCGTTTTTTTGCATACCGTTGTGTATACACAGTGTAAACCGTTAAAAATGTCATTAAGATTTATTCAATGACATAGGACGTAAAGTATTAAAATATAATCATAAAAAAGGAAGTCACAAAAGCAGTAAATATGTACTTATGCTGTTGACCCAAGTTAATCATTAACAAATGTAAGCTACAATTGTTGAGTATGTAAATGTAAAACTAAAGGGAATGCTATTTGCAAACTGTTTCATCTTCTAGGTAATGATTTACTAAATGTAGTCCTAAGAATATAGCTTCTTTGAGTTAACTTTAATGAGGATAAGGATAGATGAATTCAATTCTGTGAGTCCAGTTAAATAACACATTACACTTTTTTTACACCATTTTTTATTATAATCATATCATTAAATATTCATACGAAATGTTGGTTCATTTTATCAAAGAATTCATATTTGGCAAAAGCCAGATTCAAGGCAAAAATCATGAGGTTCAAAAAAGATCTTTTAGTATAAAATTGTTCAAACAATTCAAACGTAATCTGATCTTTTTTCCTGTTTATTAATATATTTAAATATCATGGATGAGTCACAGTTAAATTGTACGTTCCACTATCGAATATTTTAAAAAAATTATTGAAATGATCTGTTCTGTCAAGGTGCATAGCAGGAAACCACAGAATAGAGATGATAACATAGTAACTCAGGTAAAAGGCTAGTCCTATACGCTTCAACGATTTTGAACCAATATAAAAATTTGTTAATGCATTCGACAAAGGAAATGAACCATACATAAAGAATTTGGAATCATATACTGTAGCATAAAATGCTGATGAGAACTGAAAATAGCTTTTGAATTATAGACTAAAATAGGGTCATTTTCATGGTTATGAAATCATACAATTGTTCAATGGGCAACCATATCATATAAAAAAACGTAAGGAGAAAGATGAACTCCAAATTCAAAAAAAGTAATGAGAATCACCTATCCAAACAAATGTCAAGTTGATATTCTAAACACAAGCTATTGTCAAATAGCATTTTATTAATGGCGTATGATCAATATAGTGAAGATACTTTCATTTTATCAGTGTGTATCGCTTGAAAACACTAGATCATGGAAACTAGAGAAAAAGGCCACATCACATTTCCAAAGTAATAAATGCCGAGGCAAAATAGTCAAGGTTATTTATTAACATGGCAACCGTATTATTTCACAATACAGAGTTTATATGAAGTAAGTCTTTTCGTTAATGAACAACAGAAAATGAATTTATCATTGCTTGTTACTCACCTGAAATACAAACTACACGCGGCCAATAGAGGTTTGTGTGCCTTGAACGATTTCTCCTGAATATTGACTGTGATGTCACAAAGAAATCCCGCTCTTCTCTGTAACTGCAGCAGCTGTAATACATACTGCGAATGCATGGCTCTCTGTGCCGCCAGTTTGCCGCCTTCTGTCTCCAAGCTTGGCATGTAAACTGAAAACTAGAGAAAAAAAATTTATCGGTGATTTCAGCCATAATATATTCCAAGTTTTTTGAATGGTCGGGACAAAGACGAACTAATGTCAACGGTTATAAATAACCACACTTGTCTTGGAAAATACATAAATTTTTCGAATTTAACAATTAAATTTTATTTACCATTTTATAAAAAGGATTACTGTCTTCAATTACCTACGATTAATTGCTTAAAATCGAGACTTAAGACCCGACTTTCGTGACAACTTCAACAAAAATTGACATGTCATTTATAATATGTAATTGTACACCGCTCTCATGAAGCCAAATTCTATTTCAGCAACATTCAAGATTTACATATTTATCCCTGAGAGAGGAAAGCCGATAGAACGACCTAATCATATAGCGAAGCACGGCCTCTCGTCCGGTTACCATTACATGTCGGGCATGGGATTAGTTTGCCAGTTATTTTGTTTTCAGGTACATTTACATGAACAAATACGGCCGAACGAAATGCTCTCTCAGGCACGCGCTATAGTATATTACGTTAATTCTTTTTTATATAGCGAACAGTGGCAATATCATTTTTTACTATTCCATTACAAAAAAAAATATCGGAAATTCACTCTTGAAATATGATACAAATACTGTATGGATACGTACAAATATACATGTTACGCACATTTCTAAGGCTTAATATATTACAATTGTGAAGAGCGATTATCAAGTTCCTGTATGCGTGTCACTTTGTCGCCACGACGACAACTTCATTTTCGATTTAAATTTTCTCATAACTTCTTGATAACCAATGGAAACAAAAATTCGATGAGTATCATTCCGAAGACGCAGCGGCTTTTATGTCTACTTTAAATTACCATGTCTTCCAGAATTAAGTCTTTCCTATATAATAACATTACAATTCCATAAGTATCGCCACAAAATAATATGTATTTTGCCCTTAAACCGAAATTACGAAACTCAAACCCTCTTTCGCTATAAACCATTTATTTTGGAAATCATAACATCGTCCAAACAAAAGATCAGATATATATGCAAATACATTTAAATATATAAAGACAACGTAAGTTAAAAACACGCAAATACCCTCAAGTCATAAAAAATTTGCATATAATTGCTTACCAGCGTATTCCCACACACTGGTGTAGACTGTAATCCGCCGTTAAACGCCTATAGAAACTTTCGAATTTTTTCGGCCACAAGTTGAATATTGAAAGAAACTTTAACTGACAAATATAATACGGGGTTGCGTTGATCTCGCTTTCCCTGACTGCGTCAGTGAATGATTTACGTATACTACTACTTCGTTTAGTTTGCTTGCGTAATTTTGTATAAGCAAATACAAGGTGGTAACGAAAGCATGGACCATGAAGCGATCGGCTCAATGGCGCGTCCCATCACGGTCCGTTAAACATGAATGACCATATTGTATGTTTTAACTTCCCACAAACAATTGAGAAAGTATACGACGTGATGGGGGCCTATTTTCCATTAGAAATAAAAAAACACAAAAGACTTTACTACGAAAATTTCCAGAGTGGGATCCTGTTGCCTTTTTATAATCAAAACGACAAAGGAATAAAGCATCGTTCATTCTTTTCAAAGTCGTATCGGTGATTCGTGCGCAGTATCATATATCTATATCTACACAACGGACAAACACCATTCCAATGTCCGATTTGCGTTGACAAAAGCATTGGAAAACAGTAGCGTTAAATGGATGTGGTTACGCTCTAACTGCGCTACAAAGGAAGCATTATATCATTATTTGTCTTTACTGGAACGTTCACGTATAATGGATTACGAATGGACCTTAAAATTCCAACGATTTTGGGGTTTGGCAACTTCCTATGAAAAGACCCTTGGCTACCGAGACAAATACGTTTTTCATTTCTCCCGTGAATAACTGCTTTTTTGGTACAACTTCGCGCAGAGCAAGTCCCGATCTCTAACTAAAAATTGAGAGAAAGTGTCACAGTATTGCTGTTCACAAGAGCGACATATATTTTATCAATGCGATAGATACCACTGAGATTCTAATTTACTTTTAATAAACATAAGTTATAATGTGTTGCATACAATCACAATCTGCAAACAATGCACAAGAGCGACATATATTTTATCAATGCGATAGATACCACTGAGATTCTAATTTACTTTTAATTAACATAAGTTATGAAATCAGTGCCGTTAAAAGTTGTCCTGATTTTCAATTAAAAATCGGTTATTTCAGCATGAATTCGAATGACATTAGAGAAAGAGGAGCTTAAATACCGCTATACATAGTTACCCGGTATCCCCGGTAAGATGCTTGATAAATCTTCTGGCTACTCTACAAAGGATGGGATTGGAAAATGTATATACTTACGTAATTATAGAATATTGAGAATGTTCGAGAATGAAATAAATCTATCAACATAAAAGAACACAACACGCATCTAACAGAATCATGCTCGCAAATAATGTCGCACGTCCTGTGCATATTGGAAATTGCAATGCAGTATTTATAGAAAATATAAATAGACATGAATCAAATGAAAAGAAAGATGCAATATTATTATACTGAAATAAGTTTATTCGAACCACTCAATAAAATAGCTTGGACCACAACAAAATCAAATTTCATATTTTCAATGTCAAATTGCATTCAAGTGAAAAAAAGTATCTTGTTTATGCTCCTTATTTGTCGCCAGTACAGTCCATGGGTTCCATAAGTTTATATTCAGATCTGATATTATCATATGTGAATTGATTAACTATACTCAAATACATATTACGTTTGTCACTTAAAAATCGCAACCCTTTAAAAAGCATTAAGGTTTACCAGTAATGACTTTGCTTTTATATATCTATTCATAGTTTGTAAAATTCTTTTTACAGTGAGTGCTCTTAATTGTTCGTGAACCTCTGGATTGTTTCATTTGGTTTCCGCGTCACCATAATTATCAAAAACCAATGCGGTATACATTATATTTGTTTGATCGATTCATTGGGCACAGGGTTTTTCTTGTTGTAGTTAAAGAAAAATCACCTTTTTCTCAATAGTTTCCGTTTTAAAAACATTATTGAATGCACTAAGCTAAGGGATTATTGCTTTTATTATTTTATTTTAATTTTCTCCGAGTCCTATGTAGTCCGATATTTCACTCCAAATTTTACTGTTTTATTTTATTTCATGGGAACATTTTTTATGAGAAATGGGGAACACCTAAATTCCGTCGCGCTTGTCCGTCTATCTTTTGAGCAAATCAGTACTCAGGCAGCTAAAGTCATACAGTACCGCGCATTCGAAAATTCCTCTCTCGTTTTTTATTCTGGCAACTAATTTTCAATTTTTTTTTTTTAAATGCTTTACAGGAACAATTTTCCAGAAAAGGAGTTTTGTTTGCATGGCAACCACAATTTTGCTTTTGAGTTTACCAAATTGAAGAATTTAATTCGAATGGAATTTGAAATTAATGCTATTGTAAAATGATATTTCGCAACAATTGAGATCGTTATTTTTCTAAATATTAAAATACCTATCAAATCGTAGGGAAGAAAATTTTTGAATATTGCAGGATATGCCATATATACTCTTAGACTCCCCAAACAGATGTTCGTTTAAAATGAAAACATGGTTATACATTACAAAGCGGATTAGATATATGCAAATATCGTAACACAACCACGGTATCCTTACATCTATTCAACTGTGTATTGCATGCGTGCGACCTCGATACCCCTTTCCAGCTGTTAAAGAGATGAAATTGATAAATCATACATAAATGTGTTGATATCATTTTTTATTCAGTCATATTTTTCATACAATATAAAATTGTCTTCTTCTGGATTTTGGAAATAGAGAGATAGAACAGGCGAGTGCGTTTAAGAAGCGTGGTGTCGCTGTGGCTTTGTGACAAAATTCAACACAAATCGTTATCGACTAACAGACCTCAAACTCACCCAGATCATATTCAAGGTTCTGTGCAGCAGATTAGACATTTTTGGATAAAACATCACCTGAATCCTGGTTTCAAAGTTTACTCCAGTAGTATGCCCAACCTACTATCACTAAATTTGAAGTAAAAATTTTCGCGCTAAATTACTGCTCTTTGCACAGACCCTGTGAGCGATTTCCAGGTAAATTTTATACCTTAAAACAGTTTTGAAAGAAGATAGCATGCCATGTAACATTCTGAATATGATCATAATATCGAAATATATTTTCAGCAAAATACTGCGCCTCACTAAAGCCGTTAACAGCGGGTACAGATGGGTCACCACTTCCTATGGCGTCAAATCCTATTCACCTAAACATATACAATGGTATGTTTTCCACTTCACCCATAAAGTATTTTAATACACAAATTTCTAGTAACCTTGCTGGATCTTAATCCTGTCATTTCCACCTCTTTACACGGCACGGAAATAACTATAAAAATGCAAATCACTCATAAGTTGATACGAACGTTCATGCAATTCACTGATAAAGATCTCGGGAACGGGAAAGTATTTCGATATAAACTCATGACGCGCCTAAAAACCAATTTGCGTGAACTCTTCTAAACAAATATGCAAAATTGCACGTATTCGTCGGTATCCGAGAGAAGGGTTATAAATATAAAAAACAATGAAGTCCCTAAAAGTTTCTTTGATTACCCGTTTTGTTTGTATACATATATACACCGATGGGATGCGGTTCAGGTTTAGATTTGAACATGACAAGAAACTCAATTATAATATTATTATAAACATAGTACAGATTACCGCGCGACGGGCATGCAGACACAAGACATTTTCTTATCTGCGGATTAGCGAAATATAAACAATCACAAATTTGAATATGTGACGAAGTTCGTAAGGAAAAGAAAGAAGCCTGAACGCGACATGGTGGCCTGTTACATAGATTAATACGTTAAGTCTAACTTTGACAATTTGCGAAATATTCCCCACGACTTAGATTTCGAGTGATCCAAGAAATATAACTCAAAGTTGAAAATTTCAACTTTAATTCAGTTTATGTGCTAACCAAATGAATACAACAAAAATTAAAAAAAAAAATAGTAAAAAGTGAATAAAAAAAAAGTAAAAAAAAATGAAATTTTTTTTTTAATTTCTGTCGAAAACTTGACTGGTGGTAACTTCTACCGAAGAATTTTATCGCGCATTGATTGTGGTTTATTGCACTTATGGTGTTAATATATATATAAATATCGCCGATATATCACGCACCTTGACTATTCTGCAGTTACAATAAAGGATGGATGTATGGTCCTCGGTGTGTATGTCAATGACCTAACCTACTTTAAAGAATGCGTCAATGTCAACATCAGGTTTGATCATTACTCATTAGCCATGTTTAACTCCCGGTAATGAGATAAAACACACACAAATAGAAGGTAGATATCGGTAATCGCTAAGAGAAAAGCAATATTGAACTAGGCTGTGGTAATATTTGACAAATAATTATAATCAGCACTGGTACTGAAATTCGCATAGACCGCGATGCTGTGGGCGCTAAAGTAAAGACCGACACTTTACCCGTGACAAATGCGCCACGCGAATGTTTCGCCGAATCTATCCAGCCGAAGCCGGTTTTATCCAATCTTACAGTTTTTGTTTCGTTGGAACTATTGGGTGCTTTATTGGGTGTATAATAAAATGAGAAGATTACTATGGATGTATAGATAATTAAAAGAGAATCTATGTTTTCTTTTGTTTTTTAAATAAATTTATTCAAGATATTCAAACCGAAATTGATTGAAAGATATAATTCTAAATAATAAGAATATTGAATATTTTCATCTTTAAATTACCAAAAACAAATATTTCTTTAACAAAAAAAGAGGAACAAAACGTATAAAAGTCATTAATCGTTCTTATTTTCGGTTTTCACTCTTTCATTTCAAACGTCAGGTCAGGTCATATATTATTATTATAAATGCACTAATATCAAGGCAACTAGGAAAGGGCAATGCAATTTTCAATTTTTCATTCTACTGGTAAATTTCTAAAATGACTTTCCAGAAATACAGAGATAAGATACATAAAAAATATGCGCTGTGGGTCATTGAAGTACACGTCTAGACACAAGTAATGCACAACGCAACTTGGTTAATTTTGGTCAGGCATTGTTATTAAAGCGGAGAGAGATTTCACCTGGCATTCCAAGAGGTTAGCTTTTAAAAACATCACAAGTTCAATGCATATAAGAAATTTCCCATTTTTAATGAAGCATTATAAATACAAAATATCTCCTTAATGACCTTAGGAAATGCAATTTCTAAAAAATTCCATATAAACATGTCATATATATGGCAAGCATATCCACACGCTATCTATTTATAGTTTTCAATAACTTTTTGATCTCCAGATATGGAATCTCCCATACTTTATTCAAATGCTTATACTTCCGGTCCAGCTAAATTAAAATTAATTGATCAAGACAACTTTGCATCAATTAATCGTGTTATGCATGGTCTTAATTAATTTGGAAATGTTCTATATAGGTCATATAATAGAAATTCAAAACATTTTGAAAATTTAATTCAGTCAAGCATGTCCCATAGATAAACAACCATGAACCATTTTGACTGAGATAAGCATTATCAATGGGTTCCTATATTTCATGGATGAGGTAACCCAGCTCCACTCAATGCAGAAAACATTCAATTGTGTATTCACAATCAATTCAAATTACACAATAATTACCACAATTATTTATAAAAATAAAAAAATTTAAAAAGTAGAATACTAGAGTGTTGCAAATAAAATAAAAAGTTGAAAAAGTAGATATATCTGTTCATTGATTCATAGATTTAGGAAAAATTACATATGGAGTTGAATCACACATTCAAATTATTGTGTATAGAAGAAAGAAACTGTAAAACAACTTCTAAAAGTGACATCATCTGTAGAAATTGTAATGAAAATGAACTTATACAGGAGTATTATAACATTTCATGTACTAGTAAATTCCTAACTCCCTTCATTATAATCTTATTAATATCTATCAACAACAATCAAATCAAATATACATAATATGCAAATTATCAAACAGCATTAATTTTAATACTTATAAATACTAGAAACGACATTTGAAATTGATATGCTCATATCATGCATTGTATCTAAGATAATGATATTTTTTTCTCCCAATATCATATCCTTCACTAGACATGATTGATTATAAATCTACCCAAATAGAAAACATTTGAAGTTATACTCATATGGTATAGTAGTCATATTAATATTTGAGAAAGTATATATAAAAGCATTACAGCTGCTAAAGAAACTGAATTTTCTTATTAAGGTATTAGTAATGGAATGATTTTACAGTGCGTTCAACTTATGCAAACAATAGACCCTTGACATATTCAATTTTAATACCGATTTAAAGTAAAAAGAATGCCAATAAGACTAAAAATCATTTAAGGTAAAATTGGACACATATAAAAGTTACAAATGGGGTAGTGATGGTAGTTATTGAACGGATATCAGCAAAATAATTCAGTAGATAAATATCTGGATTTACAAGATAAGATATGTTCCATTGCACCTAATTTAATACTTTCATTTAGGATAAGTTTTCCAAATTTATCTCGGGGGAGAGGAAAGCCATTAAGATGGCTTAATCATATGAAAAAACTTGGCTTCTAATTTGATTACCAGTCTATGTCGTTTATGGGTTTATCTTTTTGTTTCAGATGCATGGACTTGATGGTGGATGAAGTCGTAAATGACCAGCAGTTATATGAACCACCATGTGGTGGCGAGGAGTCCAGCAATCCTCTCACACGAAAATATCCCCACAGGTTTTGACCTCATGGTAAACAGGGGTAAAGCATCATGCACGAAAGGATTGCTAGACTACCCGCTGTTGTAGAATGGTTCACTTAACCGCTGGTCGGTTTACACAGTTGATAATGCCCTCTTTAATAATTCAATTCCTATGCAGCCATAACAGTGTTTCCTGATTTCAGTTTATGAATTATCAATGAACACCTCTCGTACAATACCATACTAATATCCATAATAAAAAGAATGAAAAAAGTTTTTACCTTATTATCCATTTTTACATTCATAGAGATGATAGATCACAGCTGACTTGGTCTTCAAAATCTTGTCAATCTATCTTGAACATCATGTAACGAACATATAGCTGTCAAATATAGCAACTGAGGAAATCATTGAATGACGGTTCAGGATTGTCTGAGTAATTTAAAACTGAAAAAAGAAAAAAAGCAGACTGAAACCAACTAACAATAACATAGAATACCAAGAACAAATGATAAGTTTGGAAAGATGAAGCCTAAACTACAAATCCAAAAATTTAATATGGTGATAGCCATTTAGGACCTTTCTTAATTATGGGTGCTATTCTAGCAGTCACATAAAATAGTGAAAACTAATTAGCTGGAGGGACCAGAACTTCCAACTGAGGAATCAGCTATGAATTTTTGTATATCCTAGATAATTCGGTGGGCTCATTCGAACAGTGTGCTGCGATTGAAGTCTGGGATGCACACTTGATTGAGTCAATGTATTATCTACTACGCTATTGTACCCCATACTTGTTAGGATAGGATTTACATATTTATCCCGGGGGAAAAGGAAAGAATATCAGATGGATTAATCATATGGTAGTATAGCAAACCAGAGCGTCTTGTCACCAGTCCATGTCTGGTATGGGATTAGTTAGCCAGTCATTTGTTTTCAGATTTTCTGGGGTGGCGAGGAGTCCAGCAATCAAATATAATTATCCCCACATGGGATTCGAACCTGCGAATCCACGCAGGGTAATAAAACGTGCAGTGATGAGCGTATTCTTAAAGCTTAGCACACGGTGCCACAACACCACAGGTAGAAACCTGATAAAAAATGCAGCCATTAAAGGCTAATTAGGACAATAATTATTTCCTAATTCCTAAGATCAGAAGATAAATACAATTCGTGAACATACAGAGCTGTTGATATTAAACTTGAAACTAATAAAGAGACAAGACCTGAATTGAGAATAGGATTGTTTTGAAAATCTCGGAACAAATCCTCAATCCAAAATACTACAAAACCTTACTACAAAACAGCAATCTCGTTAACTTAAAATCATTTATTTTATAGGCTTTTAGTCGATAATGACAAAAAGGTCAAACGCTACTACTCAAATCGGTAATGAACAAATGAGGTCTAGAACTCGTCTTGATAATACTGGAAAAGCAGAAAAGGGACATTTTCTTGGGGGCTCAAGAAGCAGTTGGCTTGACCAGGAGAAGTTAGTCAAATATTTGACTTACGGTAAATGATGATTACAATACTGCACTACGACACTCCATACAGGCATTAACATAGGTATGTATTTTAATAAATAAAATTTTAATTGCAGACATTGCTACAAGCTATATCAGTATATTGACCTGAAACACTGCCCTACATCTTCGACATTAATTTAGTACAAGGAAAAGCGGTAGAAATCAGGAAGTGAGTGCTTCTAGTGAATGAATGAAAAGAAAGGAAATAGACTGGTCTCTAATCCCATTTCCTGATTTCAGGACAGCGAGTAAAATAATCAGTAACGGTAACAATAACCTAACAAATGAACAATACTGCTACTGCAATAGCTGAATACAGCAATACCAGTAATCAAAAGTCAAAATACCAGCAGTAACCAAAGTACCTGAAACCTTCAAAACCAAACTATACTAGCATACACTTTCTAAACTATTTTCAAGAACCTGTTCCATAATTCTGGAAATTGAGATCCCCAAAACCTGAAGACACCCTGACGTCTTATGAAGACATCAAAAAAGTATAAAGATGTCAAAACTTTTTTATCCCTTAACTAATTTTGGGGATGAGATTATACAGTTATATCTGTATACAGTAGGTACGGTACAGTTATACAGTAATAACAAGAATGTAGATAGAATTACCACACAATTTGCTATCTATTTCTCTTTCATCTGTCTGTCTGTCCAGAATGTGCAGAACGCGAAGAAGTTCTGTAACAGGAAGCAAGATGTCCTGAATTGCTGAGAAAGGGTTACTTACTGAAAGGTCTCAAAATTTGTAATGATGTATTAAATATTAATTTGCATGTTTCATACTAACTGTATTATTAGAAGATCAGCAGGCAGCAGCATGGTAATGTTGATAGAAGCAAAATGATGTAAAGAAGTAGCTACAGAAGTATGACGCAATCAAATAGTCTAGTTCTCCTTCTGTCCTTTCTACAACCATAGAAGGAAGACACGGTATATTACCGTACTGTATTAGGCCGAGGCCCAATTCGATGGGCCGTGGCCCCGGCCCATGGGCCGTATAGAAGTCACCACTTCTACTCGTATTAGCGTACCTATGCCTGTATGTCAATACAGTAAGTAACATGAGTGAACTCCCATAGATCAGTTTGAATGAATTAAATGTGAATTGGAACCAATCCCTATTTATTTTTAATGAAAACACGCAGCCGACAATTACTCATCCAAATTAATAAACTCCACAACTAATTACAACACCAAAACATTAAATCGCTTGGCATCAAGTTATGCCAATTAAGATGCAACTGTAATCTGAGAAGTTGGTAACTTATTGCGCCCTCCTGCGTTTTACCGATAGACGACCCAGAATAGCAGAAGTCGAATCGAAGGGTGTTGTGTCGCTCATATTAAAATAAAAACATGTAAATCTGCCTTTGTTAAGCGATGAAATCCTATTATAGTCATTACCTAATCTCTAGTTTCTTCAAATTCCTTTTTGTACTAATTTTCTCAAAGCAACTTAGCATATATATTGATATATACTTGTGACAGAGTAGATATCGGTTGACACAAAGCTTGAACAATTCAAGTTACTGTCTCTGACAACTAGGAGAAAATAATACTCCGAGGCGGTGTTTCTCAGAGAAAAAACGTTTAGCATAGAAATTTGATTTGTTGAAAACAAGGAAATTTTGATTGAAAACTGCGCCAATCTGGTGAAATGACCAAAACGTTTTTAATGGAACAGGAGAGGGAGTTCAGATGACCAAAATGCGGTATATTATCAAGAAAATAGTATACGTGAGAAACATTTTGGCAGTTGGAAAGATTTTGCAAGCTTGTGGCTACTTTTAGACCAATCGTATCAATAAGTATCCTTCGAATTCGACCAAAATGGTTAAGAAGAGTTGCGGAGACACAATACCTGAAAATAGCAGTTTTACCCGTAATATAGGTTTGGAAAACCCCGATAATAAACATGCGCGGTGAAGAGAACAAACTTTCCTTGAAGCCTCCAACAGCAATTCACTTAAACACATTCGATGACAAAAACGTGTTGATTTGTATTAAACTTCTTTCCACATGTTTATCTGTTTTAAAATAACCACTGATGGAGAAAATCATATCGCGATTCACAGAGTCTGGATAGACCTCAAAGTGATTCCCCCTTTTCGGAAATCCGTTTTGCAACACAACGATAATGGCAAGGTATTTCTTAACTGTTGGCGCGTATGTTGTTGTTGTTGTTACCGAAATATTTGCTTCATAATTGTGATACTTGACCAACCCAATCAACATTCAACCAAACAATAAATTCAGTCCGCATTTCATTTTTTTTTTTGGAAAACTTAACGGCAGCACAGTAAATAAGCAGCTACCAGTAAAACACAGGTTGTCAGCATGAAAATTTTTTTGCAGGTTCAAGAGTTCATGACGGGCAGAATAGAAACTGAAGAAAAAGAAACGGCCAAGTTTGAAACGTATCAATTCATGCATGTTCAAGCAAAAGGCGGAGATAAATCGCACCTCATTAAATCAATTCGACAATACCAAGCTTTTCGAGCACAACAGTATATTACTGAATGAAGATGAATGTATCGTTATACAAAAGATAATAAAAGTTCAGTTATTTAGTTGGTCGCTTAAGTACGTCGTTCTGCTTTTATGAGTAACAATTACGTCGCTTGTTCGCCAGATTGATGTGGCCTGAATGTCCGGGACCTGTTGTAATTGCCGCCACCTCCTCCAGCTCTAGGATTACCTCGTCCTTGGTGACCTGAAATGAAAGGATTGTATAGAAAACTCTGTTCAAATATTTTGTTTGGCTATACATAAAAAAAAAATTCTGATTGAGCAGTGGTTCTCAAACCACCCCACTGCCCCCTGCTCTCAATGAAAAAAATCCCGTTTTATTTTTATGGATCCCCCAATTGCCACATTTAAGAATAAAAAGTCAATTACCGCCAGTGTATTTTTCATTAAAATGGTAACAAACGCTGGTACTCCCGTAGTATGTGTACCAGGTTAGGGTTAGGCCATAATTTTATTCCAATTTCCCTTATTTTAGTTCTATAACGAGTTCGGTGACTGTCTGTGTTAGCCAAGTGAATATCCACCTGCCCATAGGCTTCCGTCCCTTTACTGTACACAACTTGATGTAAATTAGTTACCTCCATGTTGGTACACAATACACATAATTCTGGAGCGCCCAAACGCTACTCACAAAACTTTAATTACGATGATTTGGTTTGCCTTGATGTTATGCACTTACATCATACTATCTTAAATACCATATAGTTGAATGGCTAGAGAAGTTGATCTATCTCTTAAAACCATTCAACATTTGTTGATACTTAACGAGGAGATTTCAAAAGATCTATAAAAAAAAATTACTGACCTCTGCCCCCTCTCATACCACCACCAGAACCTCTTCTATATCCATACTGATCCGGCTACGAAATTAAATGAGAGACATAAGGTTAAGTATCATTCTTTACCTTAATTATTATAAAAAAAGATGAATTATTTTGAAGTGAGCATCGTAAAAAAAAACGACAACACACAGGAAAGTCTTCAGAAATCTGCTAACACTCTTAATGAGGTTAAAACATGAAACATAAAGGTATTACTACATGGTCAATACTACTTTGTGACATAGAAGTGAAGAAAACATAAGATACTCTCTAATCGGGCTCTAAGCTTGTGGGTATCATAATAATAACGCACCTGATATTGTCTAGGCACGTAACCACCAGATTGGTTATTTTGGTATCCACCCTGGTAATTGTTTGGTCTTCCTATACTATCGAAATTCCCGTTGTTGTATCTGTTTCCACCCCTGGAATATAAAAAGAAACAATGTAGAACTGGAAGGTACTGAACTATGATTTAGTAGTTGTCAGTGTTGGGTACAATTCCTAAACTCAATTCCTCACTAGTCTTGGTTCATTGGAGTTCCAAATATCAGACATTTTTAGTTTTAGTTTCGAGAGAGAAAAGCTGCTGCTGGTAACAAGTCCTGCCCGAGCCGAAAACTGTGAAATGGATAAATATGTGTCACTAATACTTGAATCTCAGCCTCACAGGAACTGAAGCAAATCAGAATTAAATTATGTATTGTATGACAATTTTAAATCTGCAACAACACAGCCTATTCGGATTATTGCAGCAATAATCGGTAAATTGTATTACACCAGATATTTTTTGCTATTTCAAAATTATCCCACGAATCTCAAAACAATCTCTTTCTAACAAGTAGTCAAGACTGAGTTTGAATCAGGTCTAATTAACACTGGTATTTTTATTCACCTGTAATTTCCTCTCTGCTGATGGTAACCTCCATTACCACCACCCTGGTTAACTGGTCCAGATTTGTAGTTCTGATTTCCTCTACCATAGTTTCCTCTATCTGTTCTACCAGCATTGGCATTTTGCTGCCCCCCTCTTGATTGGTATCCTTGGTTTTGGTCACCTGGTTGTTGTTGGTTTCCTACTTTGCTTTCACGAGGCGAATCTCCAGTGCTGGAAGAAACTGCAGGATCTGTAAATATTAAACAACAGTTCCAAAAAACAATGGATATAGCAAGAAATAGACGAGGTACAGCTAGAATAAGTCTTTGAATACTGAATGAAAGTCACCTTGAGAATCTTTACTGATGGTTTGGTCCTGTTGCATCACGCTTGGAGACGATCGCTTAAAACAAAAATTATTACAGCGGTTATGTAGTGCTCAGAATGGCGCTAGACAAAAGGATATCAGATAAAATGTACAACTAATATTATATGGGAATCACAACATCTTTCATGAATTTAATTTTTAATTCAGTAATAGGGAAAGTTGAGATATTGCTTTGCACGGATCCCCTTTTCATTTTTTAGAAATCAAATGCAATGCCTTACTGTCTTACTATGAGATTTTATTTGTTCGAATAACTTGTAATGCAACTATTCCAAATTCTTCATAAACCAAAAATATTTGGTACTCCTGTAGTAGGGGAACTAAGATGGCGGACACTGGAACGTAGTATGTGTACCAGCTTGGGGTTAGGCCATAATTTCAGGTACAAATATTATGGGAGTCACTTGGCTAATCCCCCACTTGTAATAGAACTAAAATAGGGGAAATTGGAATCAAATTATGGCCTAACCCTAACCTGGTACACATACTATGTTCCGGTGTTCACTATCTTGGTTCATATACTACGGGAGTACCAAAAATTTATATCGAATTCATGTGAAGTAATGTAGCTATAATGATCAATTTTTCAAATGATGCTCATTTACGCTTTCACTCTGAACAAAGCCCTGGAAAAGCACCCACTAATATTAATCGATATGCAAAATGCTACCGAATTTGGAAGAACTAGAATCTGTCCGGTTCTGTATTACCTACTCGATTTTTGCTCCATGGGTGAGGTGGGGGCAAGGTATTAAAACCAGAGGTGCATAATCTGCTAGGCTGCAAATTGGCATATATCTTGGAAAGTGGTTACCTGGTTCTGTGATGTTGGTTCAATTGGTTTAATATCGGCCTGTACATTGTCATTTGCTTGGTAACTTCTATATCCAGACTGTTGTTCATTTGGTAAGGGAATGTGGGTTGATGGTGGGTCGGGGGCTTGAAGAGATGGGGTTGAAAGAGAATGTTGCTGCATTAGGTTTTGTATTACAGCGGGTTGTTGGGTATGTGACTGTGGGTAACCGGCATTAGATTTGTATGCGTCTGACGGAACCTGCAATAGAAAGGGTTTAATTACTTAGAATTTAGTTTTTTAAATTGTATCAGATAATCAACACAAATTAAAAAAATTTTAGAATTTGATTCAATTGATTAATTATTGGAGGTAATTTAAAAAGAAATTAGATTCAAGCAAAGATAGATGAAAATGAAACCAATTCAGAGTTTAATACACGAGAAGGCCAAGAAAATACACAAGCTATTAAGAAATTATCCAGAATACAAGGAGGAACTATTATAAGTACCGGTACCGGTAAATATAAAGTAGTTGCCGAGACACTTGAAGCATAACCAAGTGAATATAGTCAGAAATTGAGTTGTTATGAATAACACAGATGAAATTCTCTGGGAAAACTTTTGACATGTTATAAAGTAGCCTATTTGTGGCAAAGAAGTACAAATTTTTGTTATTAGGCTCTTTTTGTTACTACCATCTTCACGTTGGGCATGCAGCCATAAATATACGGTATTTATTTCATTTTTCAAAAGACCAGTAGTGTTTGGAATTGTATACTCAATTTCTCACACCCTGAATAAGTTGGGGGGCCAAGATAGTTAGGTCGTCAGCTGAAATTAAAATTCACCTTATCATCCTGTTGAAATGCTTCAGACTCATTGGTCGTCTGTGAAATGAAAGACATTTGTTGCTCTGAAGATTGCTGCTGGCTTCCGAATGTCGTCTGACCAAGGCCTAAATTATCAGGCGGTTGTCTGCCCATCGTGTAACCCACAGTAGATGGAGGTTGTGTGCTTGTCGCTGGCGGCATATATGTATTTGGTGAAGACCGAAAATCAGGTTCTTGGGGGCCGGACTGGCGCGTTTCCGAAACCGTGTTCAAATGTTCTTGGTGAGAGACAGTGTTGTTAAGAGGGGACTGATTGTCTTTCTGTTTTGTCTGCAAATGTTGCTGGGTGCCAGGGAGCCCTTGTGACTGCATCATATTTTGGTCTATAGGTGAAATGCTCTGCGTTTGGCCCTGTTGGAAGACAGATTCGAGCGCTGATGTCCGCGGCATTTGGTGTGTACGAGATGTCGGCGAAACGGTAGTAGCAGGCATTGTCTGTTGGTGCATTTCCATCCCGGTAAATGACAGAATTGCGGGATTAGCCCCCACTGTTAAAAAAAAGCTGGTAAAAAGTACAGTCACAAAATGACATTTAAAAGTAAACTCGCTAGTGACCTATGAAATGCCTAAGTTAAAGAGAACCTCCGCCAGTATTTTATATTTTAAAGCATCTATCAGCATTACTGAGAACAACTATAATAAAATAATTTTGGAAATATTTCGAACATTGCAATTTTTAATATCACTCGAAATATAAGAACAACAATGAGTACTACTGTAATTTTCAGCAAAAAAATTAAAAATTACTTTCACGTTCGATGATTGATTCTTGTAAGAATTGGCAAGGTCCTTGAACTTCGGCTAAAACTTCCTGAATTCTCTGAGCCTGATACGAAGAGGACTGATTTTGTATCTTCATTTGGCTGGGAACGGTAGATGTATACTGGAAATTGACACTTTGTGGCAAATAGTCACCTGCCTGCTAGATAACAACATACGATTATCTGCTCGTCAGGTATTAAAAAGTAGATATGGGCTCATAAAAATGTAATAGGATTTGTGTATGTAAGATTTAAATAAATTGATTTTATACTCAAATATATTGTATTTAATTCTGTTCACTGCACCAAGTAGGCTGGAAACTAATCAACTGAATAAATTTGTCCACGAAAAACAAGGTTGGCAAGCCGTTGGCATACATACAGTCTGAGGAAAAACAGTCATGCCACATGGTGGTGACCCTAAAATTTGACACTAAATTGAAGTGAAAAAGAAATTGTATTTAGATAAATTTATATTTTGAAGCAATTTTTCTTTTCATTTATTCATACATCCATCAATTTCAAACATATATTGAAGAAAATTTTTCCTTCAATATTTAATACCTCTGGTTTAGATGGTTGTTGCTGCCAACTAGTTGTATCATTGGTATGAGCTGTGTAAGTTACTGATCTGCTTGAAGCCAAAAACTGAAAGAAAAAAAAATTACAAAAATTTGAATGATAAATTATTGTTGACCAATGGCAATGGTGCATTATGCTAAGTGCTAGTAATATGCTTATCATTGTACATTTGATTTCCCTATGTGAGTCCGCAGATCAAAATCTTGTAGGGTGTAATTAAAAATGAGAGGATTTCCAGACTCCTCACCATTGTAGGATGGTTCACATAACTGCAGGTCAGTTACGGCTTCCTCCACCATGATAAAGTCTATGATTTGAAACAAATAATTGACTAACTATTCCTATGTCCATCATGGACCGGTTATCAGACAAGACGCTGCGATTCACCATAGATGATTGAGCCATCCCGTTAGCTTTCCTCTATAATAATCCTACCATAAATTTACCTCTTCTGTCTTCAACGGAGCATCAGCAAATCCAGAAGATGAGATGGAGTCAGATGTGTTTGGACTCAACGCTAGAAAACACACAAATGTAAGAAATGAATGAAAACGTGGGATCAAGATGCTTAAATTGAATCGAATATTCAGTATTCAAAAATAATATTTTTAGAATAAATTCAGAATAGTAGATTATTCAGTTCTGCGAATCCCTGCACAGTATTTGTGCTTTTCGAATACCGTTCCTCCAGCAAACAACTGAAGTAACATCTTACCATGCGTCTCGGCAGTCTCTACTTCCTCATCCTCATTTCGTTCCTCTTCGTAATCCTTCTCCTCTTCTTGTTTCTCACTCAACTCCTCTTCCGCACTAGAGTCTGAACTCACACTCGCAACTTCATTTTTCGCTGCTGAGATGAAAGATATATCATACTCAGTATTAGTGGCATCTGGGATAAAGCATAAAAACCACATAAAATTTTTTTTTGTTTGTGCTTACGTGTGTGGTGGGTTTCAGGAACTGGGTTGATATCTCTGAGGTCTTCAAAGTATTTGCAATCGTTAATACGATCCAACAAAGCATGAAGTTCTTTGTCTTTGTGACAATTTGACAATTAAGGAAAATACATAAAATGTAACTCAACAATGATATAACCTGTGGCGACAATATTTCAAAACGATTATTTGATGTTACATTGAACAGAAGTGAATAACTCACCATTCCAAACGAGATACAAAAATATTTTTGAAACTTTTAATTTTTAATTCAGGTTTATTCAAGGTTCAACAGACAGAACAGCATAAACAGATCGTTAATGTCCTGAACTCAAAATATTGAACAATTATGAGATACATTATTTCGATTTATTCTTTTATACTTTCATCAGAAATAAGCATGCTTTTACTTGGCTCACATGTGTTAAAACAGCAATTTGAAATTTGCATATAGATAATACTATCAATTATTTTATTTATTTATTATAGAGGATACAAGAAGTTCCAACTATATCTTTCATTCTTCCTTCCGCAAGCTCATACATGTGATTTCCAGCCGAGTTAGCATCCTCTGTAATGCTGAAAAAGATTTACCATCATAATACATATGGTTTTCTCCAAAGACACCCTAGCCTTTCTATTAGTGCCTTCTAACAAATGAAACAACTAGCAAATAAGAACATATTGTTATCAAGAATAAGAAGTTTATGCTGTAACAAAAATATCAATTTGGTTGTATTGGCACTTCAATTTAAAAAACATTTTCTTTTGCGCTGTCACATACCCAATGCAGCAGCGATGACTGCCACTTTAAACAGTTGCATAATTAGATCTATCAAATCTATATTGATTAACATAAATTAGAACAATAAGTCAATAATCAATAACAACAATGGTACAAAAAAATGGTTGTTGCAGCTGTGTGACATAGAGGTTACCAATACAATTGAAACGATGAGAAAATATAAACCAAAATGTTGACCTGAATATTGTAATGGGGTGGTATGACCCTATGTCCTAACTAGTAATAAACTGTAATGACTGTACAACAGTATAGAGTTATGATAAGGGTCAATTCTCTTTTTCATACTTACTTTGTACCAGCTTCATAAGACTTCATAATGAACAAGTCATAGAAGTTTACCAGTTGATCCAGTTCTAGTTTCGAAACCACCTGAATTATCGGAAATACAAATAATAAGTACGATATTCCAAAAAATAACAATATATTATATGCGATTCAAAGTCAGTTAGGGTAGTAGATACTCATTCAAATATGATCACAGATCAAAATATTAATCAATTCCAAATTAATTAGATCATGAATTAACGGGTCTAAAAAACAAAACAGGACTTACGCAAGCTCCGTTACTTCCATTGAGAAAATCCTCTCTTATCAACTCATTCTCATAGAGTAACTCCATGATGCGAGAACTTCTAACAACAAAACAAACTCTATTGTGATCTGCCTCTTCTCTGGCAGTCTGCTCACGTCGAGTAGTTTTTCTTTGTTGCTTCATAACCTAAAAACCGTATATAAATATATATACCGGTACATATAGTGATAAAAAGATTTTGAAAAAAACTGAAACAAACGAATGCTCTATGTGAGGTTGCAGGCAAATAAACTACCTCAATCGTAGTCGCCTCAAAATTCTTGATGAGATCTTTCGCAAACTCAAGACTTCCAATGACTTCGTCATACTTCGAAGCCGCCGCAGTTTGATCAGGATCTAGAGGTTTCCCATCTTCTACCATTCGACGATAACCATCTAGCTTTGCCTATAATAAAAAGCATATTAGTATTAAAATAATCAGAAGACTTAAACACAAAGAATCCATCCTGTCTAAAAAGAAGAAAATTTCATTTTTCACATGTACGTAAAAAAGCAGATCTCAATTGAAAGATATTTATATAAATCAGTCCATATTTTAACTAATGATTGAGTCTAATTAAGTCGGGGCTGAAATATTACAAAACAAAGATATTTGAAATCTAGATGTAGTTTTAACAGTTTAATTAAGATGCAAATAAACTAATGCCTAATTGAGATTTTGATTTTAACTGCTTAACTATAAGTGTGTTAGTGTATTATTAGCAGTATAACAACCAAAAATAAGCAAATTTTCCTAGTTGTCGTACTTTTCTTTTGTCAAGATTCCGAATTTTCTTTTCTATAAATGTGATGACATGCTTCAATGGATCTTGCGAAATCGCTTCATAATTCATGGATTGATTCATTGATGCTTGCTGAGGTTTAAGTACTACTCCTCCAGATCCTTTTTGCACCATTGCGATGATCAAATTATGCAGCGAAACCTTGGCAGGTCAAATGACCGTTTGGTTTGAGCACTTTACTAGTGTAATATTTTGAAAAATAAATGATGAAATTACAGATTCTGAGATTTAAGCCAGAGAGAATACATGGTATTCAGATATTTGGGGTATAGCCTACTTTCTTACTTTCAGTATGGTAATTATACAGATATATTAATGGTGCTGGTACAGTCAGAGTGTACTAAAGTATACTAGGTTTGGGACTTCGTAGTACAAAAGTAGGCCCAATTCAGCAACTAGGATTTACATATTTATCCCAGGGGAGAGGAAAGGGTACCGGTACGGCTTATATTTTATGAACAATATATTCACAGTGTTACAAAAGCATAGGTGGAAAACAATAAGCTTTATGGTAAAACTAAATTTAATTGTAATCTCAACAAATTCCTTGAGCTATTTTTTAATTCTGTAATTTCAGAATTTGGCTTTATTTTGCTTGTGGCAGCATCAGGCGGGTTTAATTGAAATGCCCAACGGTCAGACGGTCCGAATTTGACCTGCGTGCCGTAGTTTGCCCAGCTCTAAACCTGGAAACCCAGAAATTCATTCCAATATGTTGAACTCATCTACAGAAACTTTTAATCTGTACCAGGCCCAGGACAACGCAATTAATTAGGGGAGTGTGTTTTCACACCCCACACTCTTCTAAAATTTATACCTGTACCGCTAAACGCTTACAAACAACTACCGGTACCAGATTAGGTACGGTATCATGATACAGTGATACCCGTACTCACCAAGTTACGGAACCACAATATCCCCAATTATATAACACACCCAATTTAAATTACTATACAATCAGATAGTCATCATTTGTAAGTCTCGAATACCGGTATACTTATATTCAACATACACTCGTACTTCCGCAATTACGGTACCTATGAAGTTAACTAAATCACACAAATACAGAACTACTTTAGCCACAACGCGCGGGCGAAGAGACTTTTTTTTTTTTTTTTTTTTTTTTTTTGGTTTCGCAAATTAGTTACATAACAATCAAAACTATCTAAGAGTAATCTCTCATCTATTACTCAATTTATTATAAAAAAAAAGCACACAATAAGGTAGAAATGAATCAACGCACTGATTTTTCCATTAATCCACCAATGATGGTGTTCAAATACAATATTTTTCTCGTTTGTGGCATACAGTTCAAATGTCCTATCATATTGGCTTTCCATTGTGTTCTTAAAATACTTTGATTCTTAGTAAATCTATCATATTTAACAATGTTTCTGTACCGCCATATGCAATATTTGCCAATTCCAATAATAAGCAACAAATTTTCCTCTATTATTTCTTTTAGCAGAACAATATTTTGTACGTTTCTAAACATATTATCAATTTCACACCAGTCCCAGAAGTTTTTTGTAAAATCACAATTTACAAATAAATGATACACTGTTTCAGTTTCATTTGAATCACAGAGAACACAATAGCCATCCTCATCTTGAAACCATGACTTTAGTACAATTCCTAAAGATAAAGCAAAATTTGCTATCTTTCAATTTAAGTCTTGAGTTTTTCTGGGTAAGTCATAAAATCTAATTTTATTCCAATTCACATTTGAATATTCTGTTCTATACCAGTCATAGAAGCGTTCATTTAGGGTCCTTTTTCTATTTGTGACTTCTTCACTCATCAGTCTAATATAAAGCTGCTTGGTTTTGGGCTGGAATTTTGTATCAAAATTGTCAATGGATATATTATTATATTGTTCGATGTTGGTTGAGACAAGTGTCCAATTATTCATGTTAATTAAAATATTCTGTTTAAAAGTTCTTACCCTACTTAAAGTTTGTTGGTTAATCCCCGAAGTGTTTCTAGTCAACATAAGCACTATCTGAGAACATTCCACATTAAATAAGTCACCCAATGTATGTATCCCTGTCCTAATCCAGTTTCTATAGTCATATGGATAAATAATATCACCCAATATAGGGTTATACCATATGTACTCACGAAATATGTCTATTTTGTTATTAGGATATATCACTCTATTCATTTTCAATAATCTGAAATTTTTTAAAAGTTCTACATAAAATGGTGGTATAGCACTTGGTATATTTCTCAGTGGGAACTGCAGGAAGAGATTTTCAAATGAATTTGTCACAAAAAGTCCATTACTATGTTGTATAAAGTATTTAGCTAATTTGGTCCAGGGTCCACTGTGACCATGTAATAATTTAATACCCCACTTGAGTTGGATTGCTTTAATTTTCCTTTCAAAATTTACTAATTTTATTCCTCCTTCTTCAAGATCAAAATACATTTGGGTTCTGCTAATCATTTCTGTTTTGTTATTCCATATATATGACCAAATTAGATTCTTAATGGATTTTATGATTTCTCCCGGTACTACAATACATGATGCTAAATACCACAATTTTGATAAAAGATAACAGTCAATTATTATTTTTTTCCCTTTTAGACTTAAAGATCGTTGTTTCCACAATGTTAAGGTTTGTTCTATTTTTGGTACTACAGATTCCCAATTTTTAGATTCACATTCTTGCACATTATTGCTAAACCAAATTCCTAATATTTTCAAGCACGAATAGATTTTAATTTTGTTGAAAAATTTGATACGAATGTCTCGATATTCTCCAGCTAATAAAATGCCACATTTTTCTAAGTTCAATTTAGTTCCAACAGCTTCCTGATATTGCTGACAATATATATTATATGGAGTAAAAAACCTACAGAGTTAAAATTTCTCATTAAAACAGTGGCATCATCTGCAAACTGTTTTATTTTTTCTTCTGATCCATCTGGCATTTCAAATCCAATAATATTTTTGTTTATTCTAACATTACATGCAAAAACTTCTGCGGAAAAGATGTATAAATATGGAGACAAGGGACATCCTTGTCGGACTCCCCTCTCAATCTGTATATATTGAGACATGAATCCATTTACTGGAACTCTACTAAAATTTCCATTATACAAAGTATATATACTGGAGATGAACTTATTTCCAAAATTTAGGTGTTTTAAAATTTTAAATAAAAACATCCTGTCTACTGTGTCGTATGCTTTTTCTTGGTCTAACGAGCATACAATCAGAGGTTTATCTTCAATATTAGCATATGAAATGATGTCTTTAATGAATATTAGACTTTCAGAGATTTCTCTATTTGGTACAAATCCAGTCTGATCCTCTTTTATTACACTGCCTATAATCTGCTTTAATCTATTTGCTAAAGTTTTTGCTAAGATTTTATAATCTACATTCAGTAGAGATATTGGTCTCCAATTTCTTATAAGGTGTCTTTCTCCTTTTTTGTACAATAACGTGATAAAAGCTTCATTCATAGATTTCGACATACGTTGTTGTGCCAGACATGCCTTGTATATGCTCATTAATATTATTCGTATGTGTTGCCAGAATGCGACATAAAACTCCTTCTGTAGCCCATCAGATCCAGGGGATTTATTGTTTTTCATTTGTATCAATGACGCTTTTATTTCCTGTTCTTGGATTTCCTCCTCCAAATCATTTTTATCTGTTGTTGTTATTTTTGCTTTGTAGTTATTTAATAGCTCCTGCTGTATATTAGAATCTGTTGTGTGGTAACGATATAAATTGGCATAAAACAATTCAATCTCTTTTAGAAGAGACGCCGCACATCTACTTGACGCACGAGACAAAGGCCCCGACACCTGAAGATAACAGGATATCCTCGCTGTTATATAACCGATTGCGAGGACTCCCTGCACTTGCTGTTAAAAACTTGTTTAATAAAAAAAGAAAAACAACATCATGTATCATTAATAATACTAGTTGAATATAATATTGAAATATTATTAGTGTTTTCTTCTAATGCGTGGTAGTTATGCAGAGTGTACGACCCGTCCATACTTTTGAGACAGAAATTCCAAAAGCTGCAAACTGGTAATCCTGTAGAATTTTTCATGGGCGGGGGTCCTCAGCTACAATGACAAAATACAGGGACTATTTTGAATACGCCGATGATGACATGCTGGCTCTGCTGACAGCCGGGGCAATGTCCTAATTTCGCCAGTCTTCATCGAGAACTCCTTGCTGCTATTATCATTGTGTATGATATTTATCCGGTTTCATTACATTTGAACCCACGTATATTTGAACCCGTAATTTGAACCCACGAAAATTGCACCTGAATACTATTTCACCTACAGAAGTTTGCACCTATGGATATTTAAACCCATACTAACCCTAACCCATGGATTCTAGCACTCGCATATAGACTGAACCCGCGGATATACGGGTGCAAATGTATGGGTTCAAATGTAGCCTACGTGGGTTCACCATTATGTGTGTGTTACAAGATTGAAAAATAAAACTTGACATTCTATGAAAAGATAAAATGTCGATAAAATGTTGAGCCCAATCATAGTGATTGCTACATGCCAATTTATAAATATATGTGCTGTTGGACAAAACGGTCAGGCTCACTCAGGCCTTCGGAGTGTAGTAACCTCTGAATCGAATTGGTCTCATGTCTGGAGTAATATTTGTGAAAGCCGTGGAAATCAATCTCTAAAGCAGGGCTACTCAACTATTTTCACCAAAGGTCCGTTTACAAAACTTTAAAATTACTGGGGTCCGGACATTTCAGAAAATTTATTTCATTAAATAAACGAAACTTCAAATATATACATTATTAATTAAATACAAGAGCAATGAATGAATCAAAAATATGGATACACGTGTCGCACATCGATACCAGTACGGCAATGGGTGGATGTTTCCCCGAGTATCGTTTTCCTTGTTTATTTCCGTAACAATGATCAATCAGCAAATTGTCAACGATGACGTAACAATTAATTTTTTTGAAGCCGCTCAGACACTTCGTTCGCTCTGACATATATTCAAGCATGGCTCTAAACAAGCCATGTTTTTGGATTCGCGTGTTATTCGTTAGTTTTTGGTTGTGTTTCTAAAAATTAGTTGTTAATGAAGTATTGTAATTGTTAATATGTCTTCCGACAAGCTTTAGTTTAGTTACAATAATCAAAAATGAGTCCCGGGAAAGCTTCGATAGACTATGCTCAAATGAGCGTGTAAGCGGTACGTGGTTGTATATTTTAATAAAAATAATGGTTTCGATCATGTAAATCAGTTTTTAGTTGTCAACTCTCTGAAACACTCGCGAAATACGTATCCAAAATTTTGCAATAGTAAAGAATAGGGAGAATTTTTCTGGGGTCAAAGGTCGGGGAAACATCCTATGGATCTTTCCATCCTGTGTATGTAAATAGTATCAAAATCATCTGAAACTATATACCTGTTGGAATGGTGGTCGTTCGTGGAAATTTGATATATATTAATGTTGGAAGCATTGGAACGGATACAATAAATTTAAATTGAACTAATCGAAAACGACAAAAGAACCCGATACCCCAATCAATGTTTGTACATAGACTGTTATGAAACATTCAATCTATCTACAGAGTTTGTTTTTTCACTGTGTTATTTTTCACTGTGTTATTTTTGCAGTGAAATTGAACTACAGCATCACCATTTTACGCCAACGAGTGTTTTTTATTCCATATTTTTGTAGGGAAAGCACTGTTGTGATACACATACCATAGCCATGCATTCCATCCTATCAAAATGTATTTATTAATTGGAACCCACCGAATGTTTATGCTACACAAGTTTGACGCCCGAACGATACCCGTTCGTAGGTTTGTCTTTTTAATTTTGAATATATGTTTGTGTGTTGAATGTGGGTAAACTGGCGCATGTATATTTACATGTATTAAACCTTTATAAAAGTTTTGCCAGTTACCTCGATTATCCCAATCTCCTGTGTGTTCATTGTTTGTGTTTTGTGTATGATTTTTTTGCGGGGAAATCAAAATATACTCATACTTATAAAACGATGCTTGTGCTGCCGAAATAAACAATCAGACGCGGTCCAAACTACACTGTCGAAAGGTCCGGATTCGGACCGCGGTCCGCCAGTTGAGTAGCCCTGCTCTAAAGTATTTAAAAACGACGCAATAAAACTAAATAACATTTTTTGAATCTTCTATATTCCTCTATATATCCATAAATCGATGTATCTAATAAATCTTCTGTAAAAGATGTATTAATAATTTTTATTAAACTATTGTATAAATATTTTCGCTCTCACACTCCAGTTGTTAAATCACCTCCAATAATAAACTTAAGCTATATTTTCGATTTCCTCGTTTTCTGTAGGTAACCTCACTGAATAAAGCCATTTTATTTTTTTTACACAAAATCACAGTCAGAATATAGGTGTTGAGCACGAGCAACATTCTATGATATAACAAAACTAGCTTCAGTTGTTGCATCGAATTCCTTGCCAAATTGTATCATAAATTTCTGCCATGCGGGATTAATTATGTGCGAGAGGATTGCTGACGTCGTAGCCGCCCTGTGGTGGTTCACGTTATCGCTGGTCGGTTACGGCTTCCTCCACCATCTTAAAACGAATGATTGGCTAACTAATCTCATATCCATCATTGCCATATGATTAATCCGTCATATCGGCTGTCCTCTCTCCCAAGCTAAGCAGCAAAAAACATTGATCATTGTGATGTAAGATTTGTCGATTGACTGGTTTAAATTCCACCGCTCAATAAATTTAAAAAATTTTAAGATACAATTTCTCTTAGTTAAATTTGGATAATAATGAAAGCTAGCCAGAAGACCCGCAAAAGATCTCTTGCGAGTCGCATGCGCCCGAATTCAAGAAAATCGTCAAAATAGATAGCGCCGTATATTCACCTTTCACAACTGACATTTGGTCAAAGAAACTAAATCAAATAATTTTATTCAAAAATAAATATTTATATATTATTGCACAGTATTATGGAAATAATAAAATTAAAGAAAATGATTCTAATATAACGTTTCAAAGTTCTGGATTAAAGGCAACCCTGTCGTATCGCTTTTGTCTCGCTGGTAAGTCCAAGTTGGAGTTCCAGTGCCAAGTTTGAGTTTATCTTTGTACACGGGAGTTTGTACTAATTTTTTCCCAATAATTCTCATATAATGCATTTCTTGCATACAATTTGTTACATAATCAGGCGAACCACCAAATGTAGTCTCTAAGCACTTTAACTAGCCTTGTATACAAATGATTGAAATCTTTGTTTAATCTATAGGCATCAGAGTTTTTCTGATAAATATTCTCACCAGGATTAAAAATTAACGGCCACACTCCATCCTGACTAAACGATACTGGTTCGCCAGAGAAACAAAATTCGTATTCAGTCTCGTTTCACACATCCGTCTATTTTAATGCACGGGTATAGTCCTAGCGCATTCGATTTTCGTAATTTCATCAATTTGTTTCCATATGCAATTTCCATAAACCTATAGTAGTGTGGAAGAATATCAGAACTATTGCTCAGATGTGGCGCACAGCTCGTTCCCCCTTCGCCGTCGTGAATAATAGCAATAATTGCATGCAAAGCGCTTTTTCAGATCATATACTCCAAAGATTGGGGATTCATTGTTCATATCATCGGTCATTTCAGGTCTATGCCAACGAGTAGCCTCAATTTGGTAACTTTGATTTCCAGTAAATATCGTGTCAGAATCATAATTTTCGGTTTGATAACAAGACTCTAGAAATGCAAGATTTAGAGCGATCAAAGTATAAAAAGCTCCAATACTCGAAATATCTGTTTTTGAAATACTATAAATTGCGTTTGAAGAGAAGTTTTTAATCTTTTCCCAATCTGTGGTAACGTAGGCACCATGACCTAAACAGTCACGCTCGGTCTCGTTATCAGGTATTTTGTATGAATGATCAGAAACAAATTTTGAGAAGATAGAAGATGACGGATTTGGTGGAAGCATTTCTAAAACTCTGATGACATTTTCTAAAATCTGATAAACAAAAAATGGATTAATATGAGATAACATTACAATATTTACATTTTGCAGTTTTAGTAAGGAATGGACATCGTTTACAAATATCTTGTTTGATATGACGATTAGAATATACATAGTTATTAAAATATATTTTTCCTAATTATAGAATACATTTTTCTTTTTATTTTCATTGAAGGCTTTAAAATTGATAATAATAAAAAAACATTTTACATGAAACTAGCCGAAAAATGTTTACGATAAATATACCATTTCCTAGTTATTCACCAAAAAGTTGCCTTTGTTACCTTTTTCTGATGCTCGTCTGCCGGAGCTTCAATTGTAAGGAAAACGTCATTTATTAATCCTTTAGTCATTGGCCCAAGAGTAATTATCAAGTTTGGTGCTATTTTGTAAGATTCGCCAAACTCCAAAGTTGTTGGATATTGGGGAAGGTTTGAATAAGTGGACAAATTCACGGTTCCATCGATCTAAATTTGATAAAAGATAAATTTGATATTAACGAATGTTAATTCACCCAAAAGAAATATAAACTATTACTCTATATTACCGCATTCATATGTTGGCTGCGAGAGACATATGCAACATCTCGTCGACAAAAACAGATTTAAGAATATCAGCGGCCTCTCTGTTTCTTCCAAATTCCGTTTGCAAGCTCAGCCACGCAGTATAATAAGGAGGTATTGTGGTTAGCTCAAGAGTTATTGCTCGTTGTACCAATTGTTTCACTTGCTTTTGACGCTTTTTTATCTCTTCATAGTCGCAAGTTGGGAGTACTGTAACAATGAGTTAGAATTAAAACGCTACACTTCATTATAATGATTTGTTTTTTTTATGTTGTTTTGTGCTTTATGCATCAGCCATTTGATAAAAACATGTAGCCTATAACCCTAAATTATGTTGTTTGCAAATATCCACAAATTACAGTTGTTCTCACCAATGTACATGTTGAAGTAGCCAGGAGTAAGTTACATTACCTGGATTATCAGTTTCTATCATTCCACACTCCATCCAATTTTTAATTAACTTTGCTTTACCTTTTGATAAATCACGCGATATTGGCATGTACCTGCAAATATGCGAAAAATCGCATTAAAAAAAGGAAAATCTTGTAAATATACAAAAAAAAAACTTGTATCGATTGATCAAACATACCGTGGGTCGTCAAAATCTGTCTCGAACATGGCATATTTCAACATTCTATTTCTTTTTTTGACGTCAGCATAGGAAGAAAGGTCTATGATGTCATTCTTCCACATTATAGGATATAAATTGTGGTAAAGTAGAAATATGTCTGAAAAATAACATCATTCATCAAATTTATTTATGATTGAAATGCCAGACAAATTTGTTGACTTTGCACTCATTGTGTAGTGTGACGACCCTTGTTTTATCTGTTAAATGATGTCATGTGATAGTGTTTCCATATTTGGTATTTTGGCATTTGGGACACTGGGGGCGCTATGACACTGTCGATCTGTCCTTCAGTATCCTGTTAGCGCGTGCTGTGGTTGGTACCGGTACAGTGTGGTTGGTTTTCGGTTGGATTCTAGTCATGAGTGTCTATGGGAGTGCCTCTGGTCTCCGGTGGGTTATCAGGGATGTTTGTTTCTGGTTTTGTGACTGCGGGATGGGAATTTGTTGAATGTTTTTATGCTAAACAGTAGGCTGATATTATAGTTTCAGTATACTGTAGTGCCATTGCAGTTATTTTAGCGTTGTATTTTTGGTTGTTGCCATGGAATTAGCTATCATCAGTACTGTTCAAGGTGTTTTTATTGTGTATATTTGTTTTCTTGCATTGTGCTGCCTGGTACTTGTCGCTTTATTGTATGCTTGTCGTTTTGTTTGGAGTATTTGGTTGTGTTGAGATTGTTAATTAATAAATAGAATAAAATAGCATAACTTGAAATGATTATTGAGAAGAACTTTGACGTCAGACCATATTGAAAGATATTCTGAACTTGGATAATTATTTCATAGACTGCCGGTACGCTACAGTAGTTACCTTTTATGTCCGTCCACGTCGGGCATTGAATGGTTTCTACTTCTGCATATATCGCTATGACTGACGGTATAGTTGCCAGATAATAATCATAATATTTTCTGTTGTTTTTTCTTGTCTCATTAAGCCACCATCGATATATGTTTTATTATTGTACCTCAAAAATAATAATATAGATGAAAATATATTCAGTGTAGGGTTTGAATATTTGCTATCTCATGATGTTTGAAATGAGCTTATAAACGATGTAGTTATTTTGTATGGAAACAATGTATAAGTAGAAAATCCGAGGAATCGAAAAAAAAATATTTTGTTTAAAATCTAACATATACTTTTTTCTTGTAAAACAAATCAAAATTTGGCTAGCGCCTCATGAACTATAATCGAAATTGATTATCAAAATGGCGGACACATGAAATTGAGAACGCCCTGATATGAACTACACACATTATGGTTTTCATAGTGTATCTATTAGCAATGTTCAAAATGTCATTAGTATACGTGTCACGTTTTCCAATCATTAATGTTTTACTTCCGACTTTTTGATATTTCTAAATATAAAGCTTTCAACAATACCAACATTTTAATCTCAACATTAATGTTTTTGCATTTACTTCCAAATTATAACATTGAGGATCGGTTCAATTGCTAATAATTTTAGGATCAAATATTAATATGAATTTTGTTATAGTTACCTTAAAATAATTTCAATGGGATATATTTGACCATCAAGTCCACAACCTCTTGGATTACCTGGGTCGAAAGCAGTGATTTTGAATTCGTATAAACCTGGGCGCTTTTTTGAAGGAGTATGCGAAAACTGTGCTGCATTTCGGGGCTGCCCATTAGCGCTGAAAGAACATTAAACTTTCAGATTAATAGATCAAATATTAAAATATATTCATTTGAATTTTTCATTTATTCATTCTCAGAACTGACTTGCTACATATATTCCATCCGCAATCCGTATCCGCAATTGAGTTTCTTGCAACGTCCATAATGACATCAACACCATCTAATGGTTTACCAAAAGAACTGACGAAAACACTTGCTTCGTGAGTTTCCCCAGGATTCATCTTGACACGTGCTTCCCCATAAATCCAATGGTAATTCCACCCTCAGTTTCAGAAAATATGATTTGCGGGTTTCTGAACAAATTTATGTCTTGGAAAATAATCAAGCAACGCAAATTTGAGGCTATGTGTGAAAATGTGGAGACAAGTTAATAGGATATTAAGTGAATCAGAGCTTCTTCTGCTGAGTTAACACTTACTTCATGCCATGCATTGTTCTTACGATCGCCAATTCATGTGACATCATCAACGCAATTGCTTCGTCAGGTACACGTTTAAGATCGATATTAACGATTCCTCCAAACAGGCTATACCACTCATCATTCTTTTTCATCGATTCGGAAATTGCGCCATCCTGAGTTATATAATGGGGTCTCTTTGGTACCTTCTTTGCAGTCGCGGCTATTTTTAAGATTTAACAAAAATGCAAATTTTATGGGCAACAGTTAACAATATTATTTTGTTAATACTTATAGTCTACATTTCGAGACGAATATGTCGAGCATACGGTGAGAAATAAGATTTAATTAAAGATATATTTTACTTCAGTGGTCATAATATTATTGATCAACGATGCGAGACTGAAGCGGAAGAAAATTTCCCTCGCAAATATTGCAAGCACCGCTTTCAGTGCCGTTAGAAAATAGTGATAACGGACTAAATGTATTGAAACAATAAGTTTTTGGGTATATTAGCATAATAAATGGTCACACGACGAGGTCAAGTTCAACATGCTGATGTATATTTCAAGAAAAATCAAAGTCAACGTTACGGTACTTGAAGAACACTGGTGGTTTCGCGATATGATACCGGTAAGTAGCCTTACATTACGCTACAAATTCTAACATGTTTATTCAAAGCTTAGGCATTCATGTTACAGTTCTATAATAGTTTGCTATGAACTTGCAATACCGCACTCACCTGCGATACAGATTTCGTTTATCTAGGTTCATAACAAGATCCAGGGACCCTATGATTTCTACTATATTAAATTCTCCATTTGCTGTGCAATTAAATGCAGTTGATAAGTCTATCGACATGATTTTATTCTGCTGGTCAATGTAAAATGGCAGACTTCCTTTCATTGGCCAGCTACTTTCGGGATACATGCGTCGCAAAGCAGTCGTTGCAAGAGGATCATCATCGCTTGTCATTCCTGTTCAATTGATGAAATTACGATTAAACCTCCAAGTACTGGAATTATCTCAGAAATGTAAACAAAGATATGTAAAAAGCAGTGAATTGCGCTATCGTGGGTGATGGGGATTTAGCTATGAACATAGATCGACAGGGCGGTGATTAAATGTGAGTATTGTAGAAAACAGTAGATTGGGTAGAAAATCAAACGTGTCGTTTTATATATTTCCAGTAGTACGCTAAATATATGGAAGTTTCAACTGTGTACAGTCGGGTTCTCAAAGTGGGCGTCGCAACGGCCAAGTGCGTCGTTTCAATTTTTCTAGGGCGTCCTAAAACTTTTCCCTTTTGCGGAATTATACCTGAGATGCGTAGAAAAAGTCTAAAATCTTGTTTGAATCGCACTTGAGAACTGGATATGACAATATATTTATTATTGGACGATCAACCTTATCTATATGTGACTTCACTAATGTCATGGATCATTCAATACTGTTCCATTATGACATAACACACACTGGATAGGCTTGCGTGTCATTCATTTTAGTATTGGACACGTTAGTGGACATAACGATCGTTTTGCATTATTTTTGGACACCTAGTGGAAAACTTAAACAGTCACTTTTCTTTTTGATTACTGGACCAATTTCTTCAAAATTGTCAGTGGTTGAAGATGATTTTTTTTCTAGAAGGCTATTATTTATATTTATTTCAAATATTTCGTTTCGTTTTTTGTTTGCTATGACGTAACCAAACGTTCTGCGGACGCTCATCAGCTGATTCCGTGCTCGGCGATTGCCGGTGGATCTAGTGCTTAGCGAAAGTGGGAGTTTTCCGTGCCGAACGGTGGACTGTGGTATGATCTCTTGTTTCTAATCCACTGATGAACATGGAAATATCGAGCATTGATGAGCAACGTTCAGCACTTCGTATGCGCATGGACTTAAACGGATATTCAATATTGACACCACGGCAGTTCTCTTCAAGCATGATTTAAATAAAACTCATTGCAAAAGAGGTCTTTTATTGAAAGATATCAAAACATTTTCCACGGGGAGTCGCAACTTGAGCATATTTTTTGAAGGGCGTCACAATACCAAGAAGTTTGAGAACCACTGGTGTACAGTATCTGATTCTACCACGGCCACAGATGCTTTGAAATTTCATGAGTGCTTAAATATTTCGATATCACGAGCAATTGAAAAGCAGGTACGCTCTATGTTAGTCGTAGAGTGAAATCCATAATTACCTATGGTCCCGGTTACTCTTCCGGTTAGTGATTTCATCTCAAACTGGTCCATAGGAAAGAAATTGAGAGTTTAGTTGAATTTTTGAACATATTCTTGATGTCATTGTTCAGCCATTTCACATCAATTAGAACACTGTAGAATGAATTATGTTAAAAGCTAACCAGTTAAAAACTACTTCTAAACATTTTCATGGCATATGAAATTATTATAAGGCAACATAAGGTAACTGAACTTGAATCACCTTTTCATCGTAGCCATAACGTATCCCCTCTTGGCTTTGGTTGCTGAATCGCGGACGTTTTAACTTTTGCTTCCAATACTCCCTGTATTTTTAATTGCAATCCGTAAATTTCTGAAGCGAGTTGCCAGTCAGGATCCAAGTCCACTATAGCTACAGGGGAGGTTTCTGCCAATAAAATGATGAATGATTAAGTATCGCGGAAGTAAAGCAGGCGACGCCGCCATGAGAAACGTCTTATTAAAACTTGTAGGTTTCATCAATTTCATTATGTTGAAAATATCCATTTGAAATCGTATTATGTTCGCTTCAAAAGTACTGTGGCCGTTGTTTTGGCAACATAAGATTTTCCTCTTGATACTGATCTGATTTACCTTTTATTTCACTTCCAATGATGCTGTCATTGGTAGAATATTCACCATTTTCTCTAACCAGTGCTGTCACTTTAGCGTCTATGTGAAATCTTCCACTTCCGTCTGGATTCCAATTTATAGTTCCGGTCTCGTAACCGCATCCTGTACAGAGAATAGCAAAAGCTTCAGCAATATATTTGCAGTTACCTGGACAAAATGTACCTTTGATACAAATACAACAGTATTTTCTGGTATATACATTTTTCCTGAAAAAAAAAAAAACGTCGAGGTCTGAACTGAAAAGCACAAACATGAGATACACAATCATGCTTTAAATTTCACAACTGCCAATTCCACGTTTGATATGAAATTAACACCCGAAATCCCAAAATCAGACGTCTTTCGATTTTTTAAATATACTTAGTTTCCAAATATACGCTATTAAAATGTCAAGCATCACTACCTTTCTTGTCAAGATTTCTATATCTTCTTTGATATTCGGAGCCGTGAATCTCTTGTTGACGTAATTACATCTTACGTTGTTTATGGTATTGACGTCAGCAGTAAATTGTCCGTAAAAATGCATTCGAGGAAATGAAAGATAACCTGGATATAACGTATGATAGTAAAGATTTCGTATGATATTTTTGCTATATTTTGAACGCATAATAAACAATCATGCCTGTAGGAAGCGCTGTGTTGGACTGAAAACTGAGGTATTGAATTTCAAATGATGTGGATATGGATTTAATTAATCATTTATTTATTGGTCATTATTAACTGTTAACCTACTTTTGGGCTCGGATAGAGTTTTGATCTGCATATAATACTAACCCTAGGTATTCCCGTAGCTTACAAAAATAATATAGATATCTGTTACCGGTTCTGATAAAAAAAAATCGAAACTATGGTATCGTATATTAAGATTCAAATTACTACTTTTCAGTACGGCTTCCCTTGAAACATTGACGTGGCAACGCATTGTGTAATGTGTTACGTGACTCCAATCACGAATTCTTGCACGACTATATATAGTCATTTAGTTTCACTGTTTCACAGCAAGTGCTAAGGTGAATATGCGGGAACGTCCTTGGTAATTTTGGATTACTGAGATTTATAAAATGGGGCACATGTTGTATGTGGTTACCAGTATGAAAAGAGATTACTTGGGCAAAACTTGATAAAGCATGGTCTTGTTTCATTGCTGCGGCACTCATCCATTCCACTAATGCAAATCCATCTTTGATATCCAGACCCACAAGAAGTACTGCATTGTGACCAGTATCCATAGAATTTCTACAAAAAATAGGGTAATGAATTTAGTATATTTTTTCAAATTTACTAATAGCTTGTGAAGCAACATGAGTCAATGACGTTGTAGGGTAAAACGTATGACAAGCTGACACAAATAAATGAGTTGCTCACGCACTATTTTATTGAACCACGTCGCATTTTATATTTTTAATTTTATTAAAAGTTTTGCATTGCAACATTTGGCATGGCACTAGAAAGGAAGAATTAAAAGCAATCTAGTGTTATTTTCAAATTGCACCTCATCACTTTTAATAATCACAAAAAAAAAACGCCAATCTATCTCATTTGGCATGGGACATGAAAGGAAGAATTGAAAGCAATCTAGTGCTATTTTTAAATCATATCTCATCACTTCTTTTAATCACAAAAGAACGCCAATCTATCTCATTAGGGAAATAAGTAATAATGCAAATAATTCGCTCGCTAAATGCAACAAAATTTAATGATTACGTGCGTTTTTAAGCATATTGCATTATAATGACTACATAAACAAATGAAAGAATCGTGACGTATTTGAGAAAAAGATGGAAATTTTAGAGAAATGTGACGATTTTTGAACTGACATTATTACAATTTCCACTTTTCATCAATAGGTTACTTACTATGGTAGACAAAACATGGCGTGCCTGTTTCAATAGTAGTAGTGAGGTTTTGATTGATTGCGACGAAATAAAAGAGTGAAAAAGCTTTTGATATTAACAATTTGATGATAATTGTGCTAAATGACCATTTATAAACGAAGTGAGGTATTCTCAGAATCATCATTCATTTCATTTGAGCGAAATTACCTTAAAATAAAAATGCAACGCAAACATTTCTAACAAATTTGGAAATTGAATCCTAAGAAATTCGAAACGAAATTGAAATTCCAATGTAAAAAAATTAAGGTCTTTTATCAATAGTTGGACGGGAATATAGTTTCATAACGGTAGGCTATTAACGACAATAAATAATCATATGACAAATCATTGTTCAAATTATTTTAACCATTATGTATCACATTAACGAGCAAATAGACTTCCGGGAATAGAAATAACTTCCGGCCACGTTAGCTAAAAATAAAACACATCTAAATGAAAATATAATGTTTAGTCGTTTGGCTGAAAGTACGGAATAATCAGTAAATTCAACACCAAAAATAAAGGTTGTATTGTTTATACACTTGGTTTAATCTATCGATGGATATGAAAAATTACTACGGCAAAATAAATATAAATTTTATGACTTTGTTTCGTAGCATTTTTCTACAGTATGATTATGTTAATTATGATTGATAGTTAAGTATTTTGCGTGTCAGCCCGCGGTGATCAGTTTCACTATAGTGATGGGCACTTTTGATTTATGATTGATTTAAGTCACAATCTCACACCACCACACGACATAAGTAAAGCTGCTGCACAAATTTGCAAAAAGCGCGAATTCGCGATGTGACAGATTTCCCCTATTCACAATTATCGTATGTGCCCCAATTATGAAATATAAATTAGTTTTAACTTATTGTTTCACTTATTTGTTTCTAACGAGTTTGACAATATGGTAGTCAATCGCGATTTACTTTGCAATTATCGTTATTGGGAAAAATCCTCTTTAACGTACTTATTGGCACAAAATCAACTAGAATTTAAAGAATGGTTCAAAATAAATAGTGACTTTGTGGTTGTTAAATTTCCTAGTGTATAACAATTTTTAATTTTTCTATAATTACATATCGTAGGAGAAACGGGTAACGTTGTTTAGTGAGATGAAAATTGGTGGGTAAAAATTGCTATGCTCAACATATAGACACAAACCTTTTTCGCGTGTACCAGAGTTGAATCTCTATTATCCGGATGTTCGCCAAATTTATCTGAAAAATTAACGAAATCCCAATACAAAACATGTTCTTAAAGATTTTTACGGAAATCATAAAATAGCCATCATTTTTACCTAATAGTGTAACTTTGGCTAAAAATCATGAACATTTTTCTGTGTTTTTACACTTTACCTATAATGAAACTATGTACTAGCTACGATGATTTGCAATTACAGCAAAATACTTGATGCTATATTGCTCACTCGACTGCTAAAATTAAAATTCTGCATTAATTTTTTTCATTGTTGTAAAAATTTTCGAGATTTCAAATATATATTTGCTGTATGTATATGCAATACATCATAGATGAGGCGGGTCGCCATTTTTTATTATATCACCAAGGAAACGAACGCTACTCCCTTGTTAGCGCTTTTCAGTAACCAAAACCAGTTGTAATGGCTTTCAGTCAGAATGGCAAATCGAATGTACATTTCCAAACAGTCAAATTCGCATTGCCTTCAAATACAATACGTCCAGATCAGGGATGCCAAACTTTTTCAGCTTGCGGCACACTAACAACAACATTGAAAAGTCGCGGCACACTTCTTACAAATCAGTTTTATTAAATTCCTTATTTGTAAATAATATTCGTTTCGGCAGTAAATGAGATTGAAACAAGATTTTTTGGGTCAATTGTAACAAGTCTTTATCGTTTTTATTTTTTTCTGTCAGCGCATAAAATTAATATTTGCAAAATCATTTTTTTTTGTACTGTATATATTGTATTGCCTATGTTGTACTGATATACTGATAGAAAATTTGCATGGCAAAATTTGGGGTAAAATTAACTGGAAATATTTCATGTGAAAAATTATAAAAATAATATCAATTCAAAAGTCTCTTCAATTTCTTAACTGCTGGCATTTTAAAAAAGATTGTCTAGTTAAAATCTCGCGACTTTGTTTTGAGCGAACTTGCATTGCTGGGTTGGGGTCGAAAATGTATAATGCCTTATATATTAGAGAATTGTGGCATATTTTACATCACCCATCGATGGACAGAATAATAACTCTTTTTACAGGGTGATACAATAAAACGATATTCATACAATATGTTCCAAATGGACTAGGATCCGATTTTGGGGTCAGCCTATATATGTGTGGTACCGAACTACACCCATTACTGATTGCAATGTAATACAGTTCATGTTGCAGTGCTGATTATTGTGAAAAAATCTCGGGAATTTTGTGAAAATTCGCGGCAAACTTTCAAGACCTTGGCGGCACACTAGTGTGCCGTGGCACACAGTTTGGGAAACCCTGGCCTAGATGCTACCCACCCCGAGATAAATGTTTCTTTCGCTACTCCTCACGTCAATCAAAATTAGACAAAAATAAAATTACGCAAAGGGTGTCATCTTTATGAAATATTCTTATTGTCCTGGTCTACATAGAAACCGTGTCAACAAATTTTAAATTCTATTACACTCAATGTTTGTAATACACCAGTAAAACAAATTGTTTCTAAAAGCTGGAAAACTCTAGGATCAAAAAGTTGAATGTACTCACCTATTTCATGACTTTCTAGCCATGAGTTGTTTTCAGTACAAAGAAATGTTGCAAAAATTACTACAACGTGCACTAAGTTTAAAATCTCCATGTATATTGCTTACTAAAAATTATGATAAATATGCACTCAAAAAATGTTGTAAAATATAGAAACTCCTCGAAAGGATAAACCTTGGAAAATTATCAAGCAAAACCCTCCCATCTCGATTAGGAAAAAACGAGAAATTCTTATTATGTTTCAATCGAAAATTTCGAATCCAATCTGGACCTCAAAACTTCTCATGTTTCGATTCCGAGCAGTCTAAAATTACAACTTGACTTGGTTGTATAATCCAACCCCTATGATGTTGTCGTGCTTTTCGGTCAACATTGACAACTCCGAGTTGTTTTTTAATCCATTATCTTCAACCAGGTATTTTGCTTTCCTCCATTGCCAGTATGTCGTGCAAACATACCAACGCCCGTTTTATAAAGCAATTTTTTTTTCTCAATTGTATACGGCTTTCTGATCGTTTACTTTTGTGAAATGCGCACGTTATCACCAACGCTATCTGTCGATTCATAACCGATTAGGATAGGAAAAAACTGATATTTATGGCAGAACTTGATATAAATCTTATTGTCCGCGGAAACAATGGAATAGTTATTAAAATATAAGAAAATGATACTGCGTCAGCCCTAGACCCTATATTATCCCGGGCACAGGATCTCGCCCAAGGGCTTACTGACAATTATTTCGAATCACTGAATTGCTTTTGGCCTACGATCTATCACCCTTCGTAATTTTTACCGCTATCATTTATTTCATTTTTAGCGTTCGTTCGCATTTCACACGAAACTATACAGCCATATATCAGACAATTTTATTCAAGATGAGTTTGTTTATTTTCCTTCTAAAACCATTTAATTGGGTTATCGCGACTTATCAATCGAGAAACGGAAAAAATGAGAGAGATTGTCCTGGCAGTAATTTAGGATCCAACCCTATAAGATTTAGGATCTAATTAAAATTGTTGTTCTAGTTAGATGCTGAACTTATTGGTTATATCAGAGCACATATGGTGTACTAGGTTCAAATTCAATTTTACTCCTTTCTCCCAATACGAACTCATTCGTCTCCCCGTTCCCTTGTTGGATTCATTTCAAGCTAACTGAACGATTTACTTCGCGGTCGCGAAAGAACGATGTCCTGATTTCGTCGATATTCGTGTATCCTATTATATATTGGCATTATGCGTCTAGACCGAATGATGATGATTATCTCATCAAGACAAATAGATCGAACAGCAGGAAATTTCCAAGGTTTATCGAGTCCTAGCCAAGTGATTATCGCGAGGTAGTTTCGGTTAGTTTGTCATCGAAATTGTTTCTGGCTGACGGAACAACGCGACTATAGCCAACGGAAGGAACATGACCGGAAATTCTCAACTTGGCCGGAAATTCTCAACTTGGCCGGAAATTCTCAACTTGGCCTATAGTTAGGCTTACCATACGTCCCGCTTTAGGCGGGACAGTCCCGCTTTTTAGCGTCTTGTCCCGCCGTCCCGACAAGTCAGCCAAAAGTCCCGCTTTTGCGTTCAGCCATCCAGCATAATACACGAACATGTTCTCGTTACTGTTGTTGCTGTGTAGGTCAACGCTAGCGTACTTACTGAAGGTGAATGCGTTATTTTGTTTGTTTCGTTGTTCCCCGCTAACATTGCTAGCGAACGTATCACATGTAAAATTAATTTTAATTGGTTCTGGACGTTCGCGTTAATGTAACATTGAACAACGTTTTTTTAAAGGTGCTATCTACAGAAAAGCATGCTTGGGCGAATAAGTAAATTCTCAATGCTTGAAAACGGCAGACTATTTCATGAACCTTCTTTTGCTGTACATAAAAAATCTAAATTCGGATCAATTGTATCGTTAGCGTCTATTGCTTTCTATTTTTCGAACTGAACTCGATATTTAGACAAAGAATATGCGCATGAACACTAGATGACAATATGGCCGGGATGGCTTAAATGTAGGCCTATGTAGTAAAATCGGAAACTGTAAAGTTACAGAAGGAACGTGCGAAAAAATTTGTCATGGAACGTGCGAAAAAATGTCTCGATGACTTCCTTATTACCGAATCGATAGATCACTGTCTTTAGTATTGTGTTGTAATGAGCTATATTTATTGTTTAATATATAGAAAAAAAGTAAAAAGGAAAAGTGAAAAAGGTTTTATTAATCAATAAAAATATTCATGGCTGAGTAACTTTGTTCATTCTTTTAAAACGTTGCTTTCGTATGGGGATTCTACTATTCCAAACACTTGAACCGCAACTTGAAGTTAAACACGCTGTGACAAGTATACTTGATGCGTTTGGTCACCACATATATTTATTATGAATGATGTGCATAAGGATTCGACATTTGAAACAAGAAAAATGATAAAATTCCCGAAGAACTGACGCAATTAATTGAAAATGTTCTCGGTTAAGAATAACAATCATCCTCCATTGCTTTACGCAAAGAATTCATTAAAATCATTGGGTTTTATGCATGGAAGGAGTTATTGAATTAAAGTAACATTTTATACCATTGTTACGCTGAGGTTGCGAAGTCGCTCGCTGCAGCCTTTTTGACCATACATGAAGATAACTTATACACTTGCTTATTTTGAAAGCATTGACGTTGACGAGAAGGTTGGAACACCAGTGCTGCCAGTATCACGCGCTGTAACAATATTTACCGACGACGGCTTTCGTGTTATTCTTCGTCTTATAGAAGCTCTAACTTCTACGGTTTTATTAAAAAGAGCCGCTCGAGCAATAGAAAACCCACTCGAGTAAATGATTGGATTCAATGAACTATTTATGGGTAGAAGAAGAATCGCCGCCACAGCATACGCGTCCCCAGAGATATGCGCTCCAAGTTGGCTTGCGAGAGCCATAATGCAAATTGGAAGCCAGCAGCAGAGATCAGTTGCAATTAAAATCGTTATTTTTCTTTGCATTGCTCGACTTCGATTTTCGTGTGTAGTTTCGCTGCCCACGACTTCATTGTGTGTGGACTTGTGGTAAATCTTACAGTATGCAATGATGATAAACATCAAGCTACAGAAATTTAGGCTTATTATGAACAAGGATAATGCATGTAGAGGCAGCTCTCCTTTTATTCTAAATAGCCTAGGAATGCATACCCCGTCGGCACTGTAGAAGCCAAAGTATCCGAGCACTTCAGGAGCAACATCTGCATAGGTATTTTTCAGAATATCTTCAGCGCTCCCCCAAGTGTTAAAGTCGTTTGATGCGTGAGATGCACGGGCTCCGAGAACAACAATTCGTTGTGCAAATGTTTTGAAATCATCCCAAGATACGACTGTGTTTTCAAGGTACATCGACGGTCTTGTTAGTGCTGTAGTAACCGTGGTTTGATTAATCGATGGAATAATTGGGGTTAAGGCTAATATAATAGACAATGCCCATGTTGTAATTGCTGTCACGACAGCCCATTTCGGTTTTGCATGTCTGCTTTGAAACGGTCGGTGAATTCCATATAAACGATACACAGTCAAAGCTACGAGAGAAAACACGGATGTTTCACTGGACAAAACAGTCATAACTCCAATTGCGTTACATAGTCCACTCATCCGCCATTTTTTGTCTTCCAAACAATATTCTCCAGACATTGAAACTGACTTCACTCCTATTACAAGCAGTGTTACCCCCATGAGAAAGTCAGAAAATGCAAGATTCATAATTAATATCCTGTTGCAACGACTCATTGAACTTGATTGAGACTTGATTTCGGAGTAATAGGTTTCTATTATTACACCTATGTTACCAAGAATTGCTATACATGCCATGAACCAAATGAAATGCCGAAGAAATGGTAGTTTAATCATTTCTTCTGGGGAAGATAGTGGGTTTTCGTCGTTCCAATTATCTGGGCATTCGTCTGAATTGTCGTCACAGTCCTGTTTACCGTTCATTACTGATGAATATGGAATGTAAAGAGGGTTCCCGTCTTTACAATAGAAGTGAGTCAACTTACTGCAATTTCTTTCGTCTGACTGATCTAGGCAGTCTGGATGTAAATCGCACACTTTAGTGGGTTTGATGGCGATACGCTGAAACGAAGTACGTAAATGTAATTTAATATAACGCATTAAGAAAAGTAGCTATTAACAAATAACAACATAAGGATATTTACGATGTATTCTATCACTCTTCAGATAAAGGTAAATGACAAACGATTGTGTATATAAGCCAAATTTATGTTAGCAAACAAATATCTATTTTATATTTAGGAATGGTATATCACTGTTCAACTTGATGTAAAACAAAATCAGCAAAGTATACCAACCTGTCTTGTACCCAAAGGTGATTCTACAGTCCCGGCGTCGCACTTAAAATTTTCTGTGCAGTTTTGTTCATCCTCCCCGCCGTTACATTCTTGTATGCCATCGCATATGGATCGACCAAACACAAAGTTGGTGTAATCGTATCTATTTTCCGTAGTCGCATAATCGATGCATCTGCAAAAATAATTTCCCTAGTTTTAATATTTTGGATAGATATATATATAAAATATACGAAACGAAGAGCTAACTTACGTCCGTACTTCCATTGCTACTTTTGCCCCGATGATTGATTCCCTTGGACTAATGTTTTTCAGTTGAAATGTTTCGCATTCTGGCATCTGACATTCTTCATTGCATTCATCCTCAAATCGTGGACAATCAAAAACGCCGTCACATCTTGTTGGTTAAAATTTTTAATGCTATCATATGTGAATACGATAACGATTGTTAAGGCAGAAACTTAGGGTAGGTGTGACAATGCCACTTTTACTTAGCGCTAGCGCAATAATATCCAAGTACAAGAGAGCGATGCTCAAATATATGGACACGAAGTGGTACCGGTCACACAATGGCCTACTGGTACCGTGTCGCAGCTGAGCAACAGATTTGAACTTACACGAAAGCGGGACCGCCACATGGAGGGGACTTTTAAATTTTGATGGCGTCTTCGCACACAAAAAACGAATCCCATAGGATAGGGCCTAGAGGTCACAAAATATTTGAAATAAAAGTAATGGTCTTAATAATTTTGAAGCAATTGGTCCAGTAGTTAATGAGAGAAGCGATTCTTTCGCAACAAGAAGAAGTCGAGAAATACGAGCATGATGAACAACAACAAAATAAGAAAACGATTCATAGGTTCATTTCGTGTCCAATAATTTAAGTAAAGCACTCAGATTCAATGAAGTATGATGAGATTGCTAGTAATTCAGAAAGAATTAGGAAAGCAAATATATATAAATTTTATTCATTATTGATTGCCATTGCCATCAACTTATAGAACTGTATTTCCTCGGGGAAGGATTTTATCTTTCAGATGATACGATATATATACCCATAATCTACTTACTTTGTACCGTCTGTTGCATATATATTTTCGTATATTTCCATTAGGTTGAAAGCTTTCAATACATTTAATATGGCGTCGCTGATTTTCCAACATTTAAAATCGGTCGTATTTGATTTTAAACCGACTTCTGCTTCTGGTTGAACGCATAATTTTTCATCAAGAGCAGAAATTGTACAATCTATAACACCGTCACATATTTTAAAGCGATTCACGCACATTTTGTCTTCTTTGCAATATAATTCTCCAGTTCGACAGTTGTTTTCACAATTTCCAGCGTTGTAGCAAATTGAATCGCAGAATTTCATTAGATTGGTGTTGTTGCGGTTCGAATTACAAAGGCATTCATCTGATAAATCTGTGCAGTCAATGACGCCGTCGCACATTTGTCGTCGTGCTATAATTTTGTTATCGGAGACGCAACGTGCGCAATTAAAAGACCCATTCTGGAAACATAAGTCCGATTTATCTTCGCACAGAGTGTGGTTATCGTACAGTGTCCATTGTGGTATGTTACACATTTCTTCCTTTGTTCCCAGAACAGTCTTTTTACATTCAAATCCTGGCAAATATTGAGGATTGTCCTTCCCCGCTGGACAATCTCGGAATCCATCACACGCGTATGACTGGGGTATGCAAATTGATGGGTCATGAGGGCACCTCCACATACGTGCTTCATTGCATCCTTCTATTTCATCGCTACAATCTCCACAGTGATCCATTCCATCACATAAATATTTTAACGCGATGCATCTTCGCCCGCTGTGACAACGAAATTCGTTCGATGAGCAAGTTTGATTCCAATATATCACTTCATCACTTCCGTCTTTACAATTTTCAACTCCGTCTACAACCCAAGACCGCGGGATACATCTTCCACTATCATTGCAACGAAATTCTGTTGTAGTTACGCATTGGGTTAAGTTTTTTCTTTCGTCAGCACCATTTTCGCAATCTGGATGGCCGTCCTTCACACGAAATCGTTTTACACACTGCCCGTTGTCACATCGGAATTCTGCAGATTCGTTGCAAGAACTGAACGGTTCATTTTCATCTTCACCAGTTTTGCAATCATTCATTTTATCAAAAACCCATTCTCTAGGAATACACCTCCCATTAGAACACTTGAATTCAGTTTCATTGCAATAATCAAGTGACGCCATTTCATCGCTGTCGTCATCAACTTCGGTAGTTTTGCAATCGATGTTGCCATCTCTCACAACCCATCTCGGCAAACATAGCCTGCTGTGCTTGCATGTAAATTCTGAGTAAACAAGTTGACTATATACTAAAATTGATTACCGGTGAAAAAACTTCGTAAAATAATCGTTTTATGTGAAGAAAATATTAAACGATACAAAGGATGATTTCGTACACAGTGTGGGCATTGAATAAAAACCGACGTCATCAATGAAAAAGATGTTGTTTAGTTTTTACCATGTTCTGATGAACTGCATGATTTATTATTTTAGACAAACTTAATGCGTCAAAGTTGGCGTGTTTCATATGATTATTATGAACCACATGTTTACATCCACACTGGAAAGCAATTGTTAGCTAGTAGCAAATTCAATTATGTCCAGTTTTTGTTGAAGTTAGTCAAGTCACGATTTTATTGAAATTAGTTATAGAGGAATTACAGCTCGATAATAAAGTAAACATACAACTTCATACTCTTTGCCTTGATACAGTTTCTTGATAAATATAAAAGGCACATAATATAAAAAACTTCGGAAGTGATAAGCAAGTTTGGCAAGTTTTCCATATTAAACTGCCTTTAACAAAATGGCGATACTGTATATTTACAATGTACCATCGGATCTGCATGGCAAAGTGATGACTCCCTTTTTCCCCAGAAGACAGCCTTGCTTGGTCCCTAGCAACATTCTTGGTATACATCGGTTTATCCCGCGACATGCAAATTCATCATCTGTACAATTCACCCTTTCTGTTATGTACAAAATATGAATGTATTATATCGCCACTTATTACACCATATGTTACCGTTTACTCTTTCTGGAAGTGGATTTGTTGATATCAGGTCCGAGAAATATAGATACAGGTAGGCCTACCTCACATCTACCATGGTTATTTCAGACTTCTTTATTTTATGAGAATTGGGGTTCTGATTTCAGTATAGTTTGTTCCATTGATACAAAATATATGGACCGAGCTCACTCTACCAATTTATTTATATTCCCCGTTATATTTTCACATACCACTCCGAAAACAGGCGTGTTAGAATATGAAGTATAACCGAATAATTCTTTTAAAAATGCGCTTGAAAAAAAAACAGGCTTAATGCTGACCTTTCTCGCAATAAGTTTTAAATACACCATCACGCCTTTGACATCGTCCGGTTAAAGAACACCTGTGATAACCATCTTCTATTCGACAGCCCGCGCGAAGTCTTCGTACGTTCAGAGTGTTGACTTTGACTGCAAAAACACCACGTTTTGCAAATTACTAATGGCTGAAAAAGTTTGTAATGCGGAGCTACAGATGAAAAATTTAAAATACTATTGAAGGTACGATCTTTGGATAAAAGACGTTTCGAAATATCGCTGGTTCGACTGTTATCCCAGCCCACTACCTTTTATCAAGAGACAGCATGAAAGTACAACTGAATCTCTTTACTGGGTTTTGCAGGTCTACCAAACTTACCATAAACATTGATGCTGTGTAGTACAACTATATATAAAAGTAACTTATAGAAACAAAACATATTGCAACCGCCTCTGCTGCTTAAAAGACAATCTGACGTTAGATTCTCAGCCTATTATATTTGGAAATTTTCGGACGTGACGGGGTGTAATATAAGGGTCGGAAGTCTCGAGAGCATGAGTCAACTCAAGTCTTTTTCGCTTGCCTTGATGTAAACTACAAATGCAAATTTGAATAAACTTATTCACTACACGCTGACTCAGTGTATCAATACAAAATCATGGTACTGTAGTTGATTACATGAAAATGTGTTCAACTGAATTGGCGTGCTGTAAAAAACAACCATAAAGCTCTATATTACATTGCGGTACTAACAGATCAATTATGTTTTCATAAAATCAATCATTTTCATTTCATTATACATTTTTATCTTGCTGAATTAAATACAAAATAAAGAGCCTCTTGAATAATTGCCCTATTACGTCAAATAATGAGGAGAAGGAATTTCACATCAATTTTTACCCTCCACCAAACACGCAATTTCATAGATCGTAAGCGAACAATTACGCTCCTCATGTCATAACGTGACATCCCATCAACAGCAACGCTCTACCAACGTACATGTAGAATGTGATCCAGATGTTTCTCATCGAAAGTTTAAAATGAAGGACGGCGGAATTGAAACGTTGATGCTACCATGCCACACACTTGAATCGAATCTTGAAGTTAAACATGCGGTAACAAGTAGGCTTAATGCGCTTGGAAGATTTCATTACTCGCCGGTCAACACCTATATTCATTATGAATGCTATACATAAGAATTCCACATTTAGAACAAGAAAAATATTAAAATCACTGATGACAAAATGCATTTAAATATTAATTTTCTCGATTAAATATAAAAATTATCCTCTGTCGCTTCACGCATATATAATACATCGAACATCATAAGTTTTATGCACGAAATGAGTTCTTGATTTCCAGTAACATTTTATACAAGGCACACGGAGTTTGCAATGCTGTTAGCGAAACTACTGTTGTACAGTAGATATACTTGCTAATTTTGAAGGCATTGACGTTGATGCGAAGGTTGGAACACTTGTGCTGCCAGTATCGCGCGCTGTAACAGTATTTTCCAAGGGAGGTTTTCGTGTCATTTTTTGTCTCATAGAAGCTCTAACTTCTACGGTTTTATTAAAGAGGGCAGCTCGAGTAATGGCAAACCCACTCGAGTATATGATCGGATTTAATGAACTATTTATGGGTAGAAGAAGAATCGCCGCGACAGCATACGCGTCCCCAGATATATGCGCTCCAAGTTGGCTTGCAAGAGCCATAATGCAAATTGGAAGCCAGCAGCAGAGATCAGTTGCAATTAAAATCGTTATTTTTCTTTGGATCGCTCGACTTCGATTCTCGTGTTTAGCTTCGCTGCCCTTGACTTTCCTATGCGTGGACTTGTGGTAAATTTTACCGTATGCAATGATGATGAACATCAAGCTACAGAAATTTAGACTTATTATGAACAAGGATAGCGCGTGTAGGGGCAGCTCTCCTTTTATTCGAAATAGCCTAGGAATGCATACTCCGTCAGCACTGTAGAAGCCAAAGTATCCGAGCACTTCCGGAGTAACATCTCCGTAGGTATTTTTTAGAATATCTCCTGCACTACCCCAAGTGTTAAAGTCGTTTGATGCTTGAGATTCACGGGCTCCAAGAACAGCAATTCGTTGTGCAAAAGTTTTGAAATCATCCCAAGATACGACTGTGTTTTCAAAGTACATTGACGGCCTTGTTAGTGCTGTAGTAACCATGGTTTGATTAATCGATGGAATAATGGGGGTTAAGGCTAATAGAATAGACAATGCCCATGTTGTAATTGCTGCCACGACAGCCCATTTCGGTTTTGCATGTCTGCTTTGAAACGGTCGGTGAATTCCATAAAAACGATACACAGTCAAAGCTACAAGAGAAAACACGGATGTTTCACTGGACAACACAGTCATAACTCCAATTGCGTTACATAGTCCACTGATCCGCCATTTTTTGTCTTCCAAACAATATTCTCCAGACATTGAAACTGACCTCACTCCAATTACAAGCAGTGTTACCCCCATGAGAAAGTCAGAAAATGCGAGATTGATAATTAATATTCTGTTGCATCGACTCAATGCACTTGATTGAGACTTGATCTCGGAGTAATAGGTTTCTATTATTACACCTATGTTACCAAGAATTGCTATACATGCCATGAACCAAATGAAATGCCGAAGAAATGGTAGTTTAATCATTTCCTCTGGGGAAGATAGTGGGTTTTCGTCGTTCCAATTATCTGGGCATTCGTCTGAATTGTCGTCGCAATCTTGTTTACCATTCATTACTGATGAATATGGAACGTAAAGTGGGTTCCCGTCTTTACAGTAGAAGTGAGTCAAGTTACTGCAATTTCTTTCGTCTGACTGATCTAGGCAGTCTGGATGTAAATCGCACACTTTAGTGGGTTTGATGGCGATACGCTGAAACGAATATGTACGTAAATGTAATTCACTATAACGCATCAAGAAAAGTAGGTATTATCTAACAACAACATAAATGTATTCTATCCTATACTCTTCAGATCCGGGTAAATTTGTAATGACAGCCGCTTGTGCATTTATGCCAAATATGAGAGGGCGCGAAAATTAATTTTAAGTTTCGAGTTGCTGATATCAGACAGAATCTTTATTTTTTCCAGTCACCAACACACTACTCACTACAATAAAAACTTCCTACGTAAACATTATTCATAACCAAAAGCGCGCTCTGCTCCGATCAAATTTCTGTTGGCAGACAAATATCTAAATTATATTTATGGATGATATATCATTATTTAGACTCTATGTAAAACAAAACACGTAAAATATACTAACCTGTCTTGTACCCAAAGGTGATTCTACGGTACCAGCGTCGCACTTAAAATTTTCTGTGCAGTTTTGTTCATCCTCCCCACCGTTACATTCTTGTATGCCATCGCATATTGATTGGCCAAAGACATAATTAGTGAAATCGTACGTATCTTTTGTTGTCGCATATTCGTTACATCTGCAAATATATTTTCCTTGAGTGTTTATATTTTCAATGAAATTTATTCACGAATATGATGAGCTAACTTACGATCGTAATAACATTGCTGCATCTACCCCGACGATTGATGCCATTAGTCCAATGTTTCTCAGTTGAAATTTTTTGCATTCTGGCATCTGACATTCATCATTACATTCATCCTCGAATCGAAGACAATCAAAAACGCCGTCACATCTTGTTGGTTAAAAACAATTTTAATGGTATCATATTATGCGAACACGATTGTTTAATCAGAGATGCCATCTCTTAAATATCGTACAACACTTAATTAGGAACATGTATCCAAATTATTCACAATATCCTAATATATGCGGAGTGAAGCACTCAGATTCATTATAGTACGGCGAGATTTCTAGTAATTCGCAAAGAATTCAGAAACCAAATATAAATTTTATTCATTATTATTCAATTATTGTACCACCTTGTGGAATTATAGTTCCGTAACAAAAAAACTATCGCGGGAAAAAATTCACCTTTTCAGATAACTAAATTATTTAAAATACGATATGCTCATATTATACTTACTTTGTACCGTGTGTTGAAAACAAATTTTCGTATAGTTCCATTAATTTGAAAGCTTCCAATACCTTTAACATGGCTTCGCTCAATTTCCAACATTCAAAATCGGTCGTATTCGATTTTAAACCGACTTCTGCTTCTGGTTGAACGCATAATTTTTCATCAAGGGCAGAAATTGGACAATCTATAACACCGTCACATATTTTAAAGCTATCCACGCACATTTTGTCTTCTTTGCAATATAATTCTCCAGTTCGACAGTCGTTTTTACAATTTCCAGCGTTGTAGCAAATTGAATCGCAAAATTTCATTAGATCGGTGTTGTTGCGGTTCGAATTACAAAGGCATTCATCTGATAAATCTGCGCAGTCAATGACTCCGTCGCACATTTGTCGTTGTGCTATAATTTTGTTATCGGAGACGCAACGAGCGCAATTAAAGGACCCATTCTGAAAACATAGGTCCGATTTATCTTCGCACAGAGTGTGGTTATCGTAAAGTGTCCATTGTGGTATGTTGCACATTTCTTCCTCTGTTGCCAGAACGGTCTTTTTACATTCAAATCCTGGCAAATATTGGGGATTGTCCTTTCCCCCTGGACAGTCTCGGAATCCATCACATGCATATGCTTGTGGTATGCAAATTGATGGATCATGAGGACACCTCCACATACGTGCTTCATTGCATCCTTCTATTTCGTCGCTACAATCTCCACAGTGATCCATCCCATCACATAAATATTTTAACGCGATGCACCTTCGCCCGCTGTGACAACGAAATTCGTTCGATGAGCAAGTTTGATTCCAAGATATCACTTCATCACTCCCGTCTTTACAATTTTTAACTCCGTCTACAACCCAAGACCGCGGGATACATCTTCCACTATCGCTGCAACGAAATTCCGTTGTAGTTACGCATCGGGTTAAGTTTTCTTTTTCGTCAGCACCATTTTCGCAATCTGGATGGCCGTCCATCACACGAAATCGTTTTACACACTGCCCGTTGTCACATCGGAATTCTGCAGATTTGTTGCAAGAACTGAAAGGTTCATTTTCATCTTCACCAGTTTCACAATCATTAATTTGATCAAAAACCCATTCCCTAGGAATACACCTCCCATTAGAACACTTGAATTCTGTTTCATTGCAAAAAGCTAGAGACATCATTTCATCGCTGTCGTCATCAACTTCAGTAGTATTGCAATCGATGTTGCCATCTCTCACAAACCGTCTCGGCAAGCATAGCCTGCTGTGCTGGCATGTAAATTCTGAGTGAATAAGTTGACGATATATTAAATTTGATTATCAATGGGACAGAAATCGTAAAACAATCGTTTTTCTCGAAAAAATAAAATACTAAACAATACAAAGGATAATTCATAGTGTGGACATTGAGTAGAAACCGACGTCATCAATGGAAGAAGAAGCTCGTATTTAGTTTTTACCATGTTCTGACGAACTGCGTGAGTAAGAAAACTTCGATGCGTCAAAACTGACGTGTTTGATATGATTGTTATGAACCACATGCTTACATCCACACTGAAAAGCAATGGTTAACTCTAATAGAAAATTCAATCACATTCAATTTCTTGTTTAAATTCGCGATTTTATTGAAATCAGTTGTTCAAAAAATACAGCTCAATAATAAAGCAAACATACGACTTCATACTCTCTGCCCCGATACAGTTGCTTGCTAATTATGAAAGTCACATAATATGGAAAACGTTGGAAGTGGAAGCAAGTTTGGTAAGAAAGGATCACTCACTGACTTGAACTAGATAGGGGGTTAGTGTATTTTAGAAAATTACAATATTTAAACAATGTACCATCGGTTCCGCATGGTAAAGTGATGACTCCTTTTTTTCCCAGAAGACAGCCATTTTTGGTCCCCAGTAACATTCTTGGTATACATCGGTTTACCCCGCGACATGCAAATTCATCATCTGTACAATTCACCCTTTCTGTTTTGGGAAAAAATATGAATACATTATATCGTCGCACATAACAACATATTTTACCGTTTACTCTTTCTAGAAGTGAATTTGTTGATAGAAGGTTTGAGACATAGAGATACATGTACCATTCACATCTACCATGGGTATTTCAATCTTCTTGGGGCTCTGATTTCAGTTTATCTTCTATTAATACAAAATATACGCCTATAACAAGCGCCGATAATGCTCTGTGTTAAGGTAGAATTTTAATTATAATCGAGTAATTCTATTAAAATGGTGCAATTAAAATTCTGGCTAGATGCTGACCTTTCTCGCAAAAAACTTTAAATACATCTTCACGTCTTTGACATCGCCCGTTTAAAGAACATCTGTGATAACCATCTTCTATTCGGCAGCCCGCGCGAAGTCGTCGTACGTTCAGAGAATTGACACTGACT